ACCAGCAGTCTGGACCCACGAGGCACGTGCTGTTTGCATCCCTGGCATGCGAAATCAAAGCTTATTGCTGCTATTGCCTGGGCACCTCTTGAATTCACTTGAAATTTGAGAAACCACATGCAATGTAATCCACTGGTGGTGCTGGGAATTAACACGGAGCAATCTATTGAAATAGAATCAGAGAATATCCCAAGTTGGAAGGGACCTATAAGGATCATCGCTTTCAACTCCTGGCTCCACACAGGACCTCTCCAACTAAACTTGCATCCTTGAATACTTTTCAATCCTGACCCATTTGCCGAGTCAAGGGCAAAGATTTCATGTCAGTCTCAAACAGGAATCGGATATTTCAGCAAAGCCAGCCCAACCTTGTTGGTTGAAGGAATTCCCTGCAACAGCTGTGAGATGCTCAAGAGGCAGCAGCCTCAGCTGCGCAGTGTCTGGGGATGTGGCTGCACATCAGCTGTAGGTTTGATGTTGGCTATGCTTGCTGTGCACGTGCTGCAGGGCCTTACAGGCATTATGCAATAGCACACACAGCATGAATGATGGATCCGTAGTCAGCAGGTTATGTTCTGTGCGTTTCAGGCTGGCTCACACGCTCCGTAGCTTGGCTGCACTGGTCACAGGCAGCTCTGCAGGGCTTGGCATTGGGTTACTAAGGTGTTAGTGGTAAGAGAGGCTCATGTGAAAAGCAGGTGATGGATAGTATTGCTCTGGCACTTTTTTTGTTTGCCACTATTCCTGCCTTGGCTGTGGCTCCTGCTTCTCCCTTGCAAACTGGAGCCATCTGGACACGTGCACCTTGCCCCTCATTGTGCATGGCTGCTTCTGTTTCAGTGTCCATTTCCCTGCAGCTCCTCACATCAGTGTTGTTGCTGTTGGATACATTTACCCAACTCAGAACCAATTTACCCAGCTTGTTTCCGGATCTGTGATCTGGTTCCTTCCCACTCATAGGCAGAAGATTTGCTCTGAGGATTTATTTTGCCCTTCATGAGTTTAGATACCAACCAACCCCAAAATCAACCTTTATGATTTCAGGCTTTGATTTTACCTTCCCCCTGAGAACCATCTGTGCAGGTGTGTGACAACACCAAGCTCTCTGCCCAGGCTTATGGATGCTGCGTAGAGCTTCTGATTTGCTCAGTAGCAAACACTGGGTTGTTCTGGATGCACAGGACCTGGCCAGGGCTCAGCACAAGGCACAGCCCCTGCAGCCAGCTCTGGGCACAGCAAGGCTGGGAGCTTCCCTATGCAAAGTGTGCTCCAGCCCAGCTGCCTCGGTTTGTTTTTGCAAATAATGAGAGAGTTTATTTTAGTTTCCTAGATGCACAGTGGTACTGCTGGAAATAAACAATGCTGGAGGAAATAGAAGAGTGCTATGCATGATGATTTATTTATTTTTATTGTAGTTTATTTTAAAATCCGTAATTCCTAAGAGAAAGCATTGTCAATAAGGAAAAGGAAAATTAGTGGGTTTCTTGTGGATTGAAGGCTCTGTTGTTGGTTGGGTTTGTTTTTTTGCTTTCAGAAATTGTGTTTTCTTGCTCAGCCAGGATTCCTGCAAAGTGACCAATGCGTTTAGAATCCCAGCTTGCAACTTGGTTTTGTTTCAGAAGTGTAGAACCCTGATGCGTCTGCTGGGGTGTGCATGGCTCTCCTCCCTCACCACTTGTGCTGGGTCAGAGCAATGACCTTGTGCCAGGCGGCATAGCATAGGGCAAGGAGAAATGAGGCTGTTTGATTTAGCTCATGGCAGAAAGCACAAAGGGAACTGGAACGCCAGGAATGCAAAGAGCGTCCTCGCCCTGAGCGGTGAAACCAGCAGGAATTTCCCAGCCAGTCCTTACAGGTCAGCTTTGGGAGCAGCCCGTGGATGCATCCGTTCTGCAGCTCCATTGGGTGTCTCCTTGTCAGCCTACGTGTGTGCACTGAGTACAGTTTTCTTGGAGGAAGTAGCACTGAGAAATGGGTGAAGAATCTGCAGAAGACCATTTTTAAGCTCGCAGCTCCTCCCAGAAGACAAACATGCACATACAGGCAGTGTGTACAAATCATTCTGCAAACCCTCTCTGCCCCAGTCCTGGGCTCAGGGCTTTCCCAGGGCTGTGGGATGGGGATGGGGCACCCAGTGCTCCCCAACCCATTGAGCACAACCTCACAGCACCTTTGAGAGCAATCCAAGGGTTGTGCTCCTTTGGAAGCGATTGTTGGGGGCTCCAGGATGCTGCAGCCTCAGTTCTCAGCTGTTGAGCAATGCGTGTTAGGGGGAGATTCCCAAAAGCTCTGAACTGATGGAATAGTGAGCATCAGTCATCAGGGAACTGATGGAAAATCGTTTCTTGGGTATGCTGGGAAAGCAAGGCTGCTGCACTTCTAGGCTGCCTGGAAAGAAAGGGGAGGTGAGCATTACAGTGAAGTGTAATTCCACCTAGTGTCATATCTGTATTAGATTAGCTGTGCTAATGTGTCCTAGGAGCAGCTAAGCCTCAGTTGAGATCACAGACCCCTCTGCCAACTGCTTTGGATGTGTAATGGAGCAGTTCCTGCCTCGCCTCATAGAAAATGATAGCCAGGAGGGGCAGGAAGTCTTACAGTGTTTCTCAGCAAGTAAGAAGCTCCTTCATGGGAAAAATGAGACACAGTTTAGCAAACACTTCAGGATTTACTTACTTTTAAGAATGTTGTTTAATCCTGTTGAAACTGAGAGGATTACTTCTCCTCAAACTGTGCTTTGTGCTGCCTGGGCTGGGGGCTGGTGGAGCTGTGCTGGATGGTGCTTTCTTGCTCCCCACTCCAACCTGCAGGAGCTGTACTGGGAGAGCCTTCCCTGCTGCCAACCCAGCTCTGCTCAGCTGTGTTTTTGGAACTGCCAGGTTTCGTGGAAGCTCTCTGTATCAAATCCCTCTTGGGAAGTGGGTTGCTTTGCTTAGTTCCTGAGCTCATTGCTGGAGCCAGGTGCCAGGCTTTGATGTGCAGGGATGCTCAGAGATTGGAGCTTTTCATGAAAGAACAAAGCAAGAAGCATGGCTGTAGAGAAGAGTGTGCTTTTCTCTTACGTTTCCCTGGAAGTCAAACCCACAGTGCAGCTGTCTGATTCATACAGTGATTTTTGTGCTGTGCAAGTCTAATAATAGATTGCAGAGGAGACTGGGACTTCCCTGGGACTGCTCACACACAGCAGGCACAATGCAGTGCCTCTGGTCTGCCCCAGTGATCCCAAAGGCACTGATGAGCTCAGTTCTTCCTCTCCCAAACTGGTGATGCTAGAGGGCACAGAGGGATTTGGTAAAATGGGCTCTGAGGTCTTCAAAGTTGCTGATAATTTGGGGATTGAGACCTGTTAGGAGATGGTAGCTGGTTCAGTGCTTGTCCAAAGCAGAGATGGGAATCTGACCAGCTGGTGCCTGCAGCTTGCTGGCAGCAGGGCACGTGGCTGGAACACCTTTTCTAGAAGTGATCAACTTTTGCCTGCGCTCCTTTTTTTTTTTGTTACATTACAGTAAAGTGAGGAACTTCATGCTTTCCCTTCTAGTTGCTCAGTGTTCGTAGTCCCCCATCAGTGGCTCCAGGGCATCGCTGTAAAAACCAGGCCAACAGGGATGGTGCTGTGGTTGCTATCCAAACAGTCTCCAAAGAGTGAGAAATAGGCCAAAACAGGCTCTTGATAGCCACGGCAAAAATGATGTTTTGTCTAATTAAAAAAATCCCTTATTCATGCCCTCTTGATTAGAAGGATTTGCCAGGGGTCACATCTTATTAAAATGAGAAATAAATAAGGATGCTTTACTAGCACCCCATTAGAAGCATTGCATGGTGGACAGTCAAGGCTCTGAGGTGAGAGGAGAATCCCCTGCTGCTCTGCGGCTCCTTTCAGTGCTGGGTGCCCCTCGATGATCGTTTATAGGCCAAGCTTTGACAATTCACAGGCTCATTTGCCTCGTTGAATAATTCAGTATCCTCAGTTCTCCAAGTGAAAGTCAGCTGGGAAAGGCCAAAGTGTGGCAGCTCCTTTGTGAAAAGCCAGGAGGTCCCTTCGGAGCGCTGCCAAGCACTGGACAGCTTCTGGTGGTCCCAACCCAATGTGTTCTTTGCCCAACAGGGAGCTGTGGGGCTAGGGGCAGCAGGGACCCATCCTGCAGCCCTTCATGTGCGTCCCAGTCACACATCTCTGTTCATTCCAGTGGGCAGGAAACCATTCCAGAAATAATAGGTTTATCTTTTCATTCTGGCTTTGATAAACAGTGAATAGGAGCAAGGGTAGGACATGGTTTAGATCTGTGCGTGACTGAAACAGTTCTTTGTTTTTCTTCACTTAAAATTCTGCGTAGCAATTAAAGCAGGAGCTTAAGTCAAATAAAAGACAGTTCTCAGAACCAGCTCATGGCCTTACTGTTCTTAATGGCAATGCTGATGGAAATATTTCATGTTGAAGCCATTCTGGTTGCTTTCTGCTAGAAGAAGGCAATGGACTGACAGACTGAGGGTGCATTGGTATTGGAATGCATGCAGTCAAAATCTTTCAGTGTTGGAAGGTTTGCCTCAATAGCATCACCATCTCAGTGGAAAGAGATGGAAGGAGTTACAACTCTTTAGAAATAAAATACAAAGTAAAAACAGTTATTTTTTCCAAAGGTACTCTGTGCTACATAAACCCTAATGGAGCAGATCTGGCACGGTGGAGATGGGTTGATAGTTGGACTGGATGATCTTAGAGGTCTTTGCCAACTTTAATGACTCTATGGATCTATTATATGAGCTGCAGGATGGGGTTTCCTGGGGCGTTGCATGGTGTCTGTATAGCTGAAGGCTGGATGTCTTTTGTGCTCAGAGGCAAAAGCAGAGGCTGCGTTGGCTGTGATGGTGCTCACCCAACCTCCTGCTGTGATGCACTGAGGAACGGAGCACATCCACCACTGGGTGGCTGTGGGAGCAGAAGGTGTTCAACAAACTGTCCTCTGTCTTCAATGAGGATTTTTTTTTTTTCTCATTTCCAGGTGATCTCTGCAGTATCCAGGCTCTCCTTCCACAGTATTGCTCAAACCAAAGGAATTAGGTAAGATCCTTTTGATACTATGCCTTAAATATTGTTTCTACCTCTCCCTGCACAGACTCATAGTGTTTAATCACACCAGGCTTTCTGGAAGCATTAGTGAGACTGGGATAAATCAGGGTTAAGCAGACACTGAGGATGCCGTTGGGACATAGGCAGGGCACTTGTAGAAGCACCTTGCCAGCTGCTCAGGAGTGGCTTACAAAAATAACAAGTGGAGAAGCCATGAGTCAGTGCTGGGGAGGGAGCAGGGTGGGGTGCAGCTCCTTTTTGTGGAGGCTTTGCTCAGGACTGCTGCCTTGCAGACCAAGTGGGCTATTAGTGCACTGCAGCTGGGCAATGCCTTTGGGAAAGGCACCTGAGCACCGTGTGTGCAGCAGGGTTGATAAATACTGCAGGCAGAGCTGCCTTACTGCTGGGGCTGCTCGTGGAGGGAGTCGGGGAGGAGGAATTCCAAAAAGCAAAGCAGCCCTGCTGAGCAGAGCCATGACCTGCATCTCCGTTCAGTCCGCTGCAAATTGATTGCCATCGATTTTCTTGTTTGTGTGCGTTTATGTTACAAATCTGGAAGCATCTTCTCATTAGGAAGAGATTTAACTGGGATGAGTTCTCAACCTCGTGAACTTTTCGTCCTTTTTTATTTTTACTTTTACCAGTGTTTTTTTCCCCCTCCCCTCGCACCAAGCTGTGTAGAGCACTTGCTCTTACCACAGACCTTGTCATGGTGCTGTGCTGCTTAGGGTGTAGCACAGCATCGTTCTATGGCAGCAAACACAACCAGATGTGGGGCCACGTCCTGTCCTCACCCCCCCTTTTGCTCTCAGCCCGTGCCAACCACCCCACACCATGCTTCTCCCCCCTGGAGTTTATTTCCTTAGCATCACGTGTTATTTTCCCTCTGCTGATATCGCCGGAGGGGGAACAGCTTTTCACGTGTAAAACAAACTCTGAGTCTTCCCATCTGTTAAGCACAAATCCGACAGATCCCACCCGGAGTGGGGGAGCAGAGGTTGAGGAATAGAGGCATGCTGTGAGTTAGGGGCTGTTTGCTGTTAGGGACAGACCTGGTGCTGGATGCAAGGCAGGGCAGTGTGCAGGCTGGGATGCGTCTGTCGAGGATGTGCTGATTTTTCTCATTCATCTTTACAGCATTTACAGTCCCTGCTCCAGTCCCTTATCTCAGAAGCCTCTGGCTCTGTAATTACACAAGAATAGCACAGGGCTTAGTGGGGCTTTGCATATAACTGTTTTCCCTGCGAATTAACCCTGCTCCTCTGCTCTATTGTCAGAACAGAAAACACTGTGGCATGAAAATCCCCCACTGGGCTGTTCCTTCCCATCACCCCATCCCTGCAGTGTGACAGCCCTCTCCTTTCTGAGATGATTTCTTAGAAGCCCCAATGATGAGCTAATTGCAGATGAATTAAGTTGCTCTGTGGGAAGGAGCAGCAGCTCCAGCCCCCAAAGGGACTGCCCACCAGGTCCCCAGCCTTGGGAACATGCTGCCATTGGAAGAAATGGGAAAAATCTTGCTGGCTTAGACACGGTGCTCAAAGAACATGGCAAATCCAGTGCAATTAGGGTGGTATATGGACTGTGTGGTCTTCAGCCCTACAGCATGGACACGGATCTGTGTTTTAAGGGCAAGAATTCAGGATTGCGTAAACTAAGAATGAAATAAATCCCCAGCCTTATCACTTCCCCTTAAATAGATTTCATGGCATGCAGGGTAGGAAAATAAAAATCAATCTTCTCTGCTATTCAGTGAAAAAAGAAAATAATAGTCATTCTGTCTAATAATATCTGGATTCATGAACCTTGCCAGAGAAAACCCTGTTTTGCAGAGTAAATCAGATAGCTATCAGGAGAGCAACGTGGAGATGACAAAGTGCTTCTTCCTAGGAGCAAGGTGCAGGCAGCCAAACAAGCAGCAATCCGGACTGCGGTGCGTTGGGTGCAGGGTGCTGGGCTGAGCACCATGGTGTGGCTGCAGCCTGTGCTGCACATCTGATCTGCTTCTTCCAGAAGTTCTCTGGAGGGCCCATTTTCACTCTTTGAAGAGAATCAGAGGAAATAAGGTTGATTTTTTTGGATGAAGCAGTGTGTTGAATGGAGGTGGGTGCACAGCATTTGTTCTTGTTTGGGAACACGGATTCTGCAGTGATGCAGCAGTGCCCTTTTCCCACTGTTTTCACCCATGGGTTGTTTTATAAGGCTGCGTGTGGGGACAAGGAAAAGCTCATCCTCTTGAGGCATCACCCATCAGCTGAGGAGGAGATCTGTATTATCATTTTTGTGTCTCATCCTCTTCTGCATCTGTCTGGATGCTAGTAAGCAGACCCAGGACACCCACCACACTCCTTGCCTACCCATGGCTGGCTCTGATCAAGGAGGCTTTGTTCCAGGTCCAGAGCCCCTGGAGCTTCCCCTGCAGACCTGTCTTGCAGCCCATGGAGTCTTATTATGCTGTTTCTTTTAGTGGTTGGCACTAAATGCCTCCAAGTTCGGTGTGAGGACTTTGTAGCGGACAGGAGTAGTGCATTCTTGGAGGGATATTGTACAGAGGTTCCCCTGTGAGCATGTTTTCATTCCCTTTCCATGTTTTCTTTCTTCTCTCTGAAAGACAGCAGAACTTCTTACTGCAGCTCCCCCCCCAAAAAAGCAAACCCCCAGGATTTGCTTCTAACAACTTTTCTCTCAGCCTTTCTGCTGCAGCCCAGTTGTTCCCACTGCCCAGGAGCACCCAGGCCATCACACACCTGGTGCTGGCAAGCTCCCCAAGCTCAGCACGAGCAGGGGGCAATGTTTTGTCATCTCTCCAAGATGTGTTTTTCCTGGAAGCAGAGCTGTGCAAGCAAAGCAGGAGGTGAAGGAATATTGGCTCCTGCTGCCTGCATGCATTTTTAATGCGCGCAGTGAAGCCATCTGAGAACGGGAAGGAGTCAGTTTGTTCAAAGGCCTTTTACTGAGGTCCTTAATCTAAGTAAGTCCTTTATATATGAGTTGAACCTTTAAGTGACTTTCTTCAGAAGGCACTGCAGTTAATAAAGCAGGTTTTATAACGTTTGCAAATGGGGAGGAGGAAGGGCCACCGCGTTTGTCACGCTGCTGCGCTCTGCTCTGTGGCTGCGTCTGGGGAGGATGAGGAGGGGGGTAGAGGATGGTGCCATGCTCTGCACGGCTGCTGGGGGTCCCCTGGGGATGGGGGATGAAGACAGGTTTGTCAGACAGGTGCGTTGCTTTGTGCTGGTGGTGGCTGGGCTGTGGGCCCCCCGCCCCTGGGGATGGAGGCTCAGTGCAGGAGTGGATCCATCCGGGTGTGAAAACGTGAGCAATTAAAGTCGCTAACGATTAGGGCCTGAGTGTCTTCCGGCAGTGAGGAGGTGATTGCAGAAGCTCTTTTGCAAGGCTGCTTTTACAAGGACTGTTTTATTCCTTGCCGATGCACTCGCTGTAATTGCACTCTACCCATTATATTTTTTACTGCTGTTGTGTATCCATTGCGCACACTTCAAGTGTTGCTATAAAACAGGTTTAGAAAGCTGCGTCAGGGATCCGTGCCTTGAAAATGCATAGGGATGCTTCTGCTCCTGGGGCTGGGGTACAGCCCTGAAACACATGTCTGCATGACCTGAGCTGTCAGAAGTCCTGAGCTCCTGGTGCATGGCTGCCTTGCTGCCCCCAGTCCTCACCAGCACAAAGCTGCAGAGGTTTGGGCACAGAGCTAACAGTCATCGAGTCGACTGGGGGTGGCTCCCTGTGGCACCTGCAGAGCTGCATTAAGAGTGACCAAAGCTTCTTCCTTTGGTGATAAGCAGGATCCTTGGCTACAAGCAGCTCTTTTCCAGCTAAAAACACTTGCAACAGGTTTATTTTGGCATGCATGTATCCGCGCAGACTTGCTCCTAAGAGAGTCTGAAAAATGTCATTGAGATGTTTTGCTGCGCAGCCACTTTGTAGGTCAGGGGAATGCTGAGGTCACTCAATAAGCATCTGCTAATAAAAGCAGCTTCCCTCGCCCCCTCCGCACCCTCGGTTCTGCGTGAGGAAAATGCAGTCCTGAAGTGCACAGCTCTGCTTTGCAACCAAACTGGGGGCATGCTGCTGTGTCACAGCTCCTTGCCATTGGGGGCCATGCTACCATCAGGCTCCCTGCCCTATGGAATCATTAAAGTAGGAGAAAAACCTTTAAAAACCTCAACTCACCCCACCATGCCCTCTGGCCACATCCCTCAGTGCCACATCTCCACGGTTCCAGGACACCTGCAGGGATGAGGACTGCACCACTCCTGTGCCCACGCCACGCTGAGACATCTTGCACTGTTAGCCTGCAGAGTTTTCTATTTTCTCTTTGGGAAAGATGTTTCTGGATTCCCCTTTTGATTTCATCCATCTGTCATTGTCAGAGTGGAGCTGAAGTGACGAAGAGATCGCGCTGCTTTCTAGAGCGAAGCGCTGCTACGTGGGAATTCAAAAAAGGAAAAGCGATAATGTGTTGAAACATCAAATTATACGAGCTGTTATTTTCTTGTCTCGTAGTCTCCAGAAGTTATTTGGTTCAGATTGGAGCTAAAGATAACCCAGGGCGTGCAGCTAAGCCGTGGGCACTGTGCAGAGGGCTGTGCCGAGTGCTGGAAGTGCTCTCCTGCAGAATCATCATCTTTGCGTTATCTGACGATAAAGCTTGCTGCTTCCTCGCTGAATTTCTATCAGAATTAATCTTGGGAGAATTTTTTTGCAAGTTCCAGACCACAAATAACAGCGAATCGTAATTTTTTTTCAGGAGGCATGTCTAAAATTTGGCACCGCACGAGGCTGTTCTTTCCAGGGATGAGTAATGTAACACAATAGCATGATTTTAATTAAATTCAGCAGCTTTTGGTATGCTCCGATGTGCCTTGTTCTGCAGGGAGAATTGATTCCACCCTGCTTTATTAACGGACGCTAATAGCGTGCTTCTCAGCTGCCTCGCAGCACTTTCCCAAAATCACTCCCTGGGTTTGTTCCCATTTCACAGATGGGAACCAAAGCTCGGGGATGTGCCCAGGGATGGGCTGGGAGCAATGCTGGGGAAATTCGGGTCACATGGTCAGCTCCCACCGCCTCGGTGCAGCTCTGAGTAATGCTGGCTTCATCCCTCTGACCCCACTGAAGTCCGCGATGGATGCGTTTCCAGTTGCACGCAAGCATCTTGCAAAGCCACATGGTTTTCTTTGGACGGCCCCACGAGTGCTTTGCTGATGTAATGCTGTGCTGTGTGACAGCCTGAGGGGCATCAGAGCCCATGGCCAAAGAGTGACCCGTGGTGCTGGGGCAGTCCTGTGGTCAAAGACCTGGGAGGTGTTGGAATCACCACCCCTGGAGGTGTTCCAGAGCCGTGGAGAGGTGACACTGAGGGATGTGTCAGTGGGCACAGTAAGATGGGTTTGGGTTGGGCTTGGAGATCTTAGAGGTCTTTCCCAACCTAGATGTTCCAGTGATTCAGTCACTTGCTGTTCCCTAGGGAAGGATCCATAGCACACAAAGCCATCTGTAGGATGGATGATGTGGCCAGTACCGGTCCCAGAGCTCTGGAGCAGAGCTGCACTCATGCTTAGGTCACTAAGTTAACTTGGGGGTATCCATTTGGGTGTCAGCTGATGACCAATTGTTAGTAAGGAAAGGAGTGCTGCTGGGATCCTGCAGATGAGGTCTGAGCACTTCTAGTTTTGTTCTCTGGAAGGGTTTCTTGTCACACATGGGTGCAGGATGTGTTCGGGTGTTTGGGATGAAGGCTCTACTCACAGCCCATGCCTTCCAGCAAATGGCACGTGGTGCAAGGACATGCCAGCGGGTCCCACGGGTCAGACTTGGCCAAAATTAGAGGAGCTGAGGCCAGCTGCTAACTTAACACCGAAACTAACACCAAAAGCTTGAAGTCTAAAACCTTGATGCAGTCACAGGCTTCTGCAGGGTTTCTGACTTGCTATGATGTTTGCTTCAAAAGGGCTCATTGGTGGATCTGTACATCCAGACATGGGGTTGAGAGTTACTGCAAGGCATAATTATGGTTCATAGGATATCCTGAGTTGGATTGGATCATTGCATCCAACTCCTGGTCTCCTTGCTGGTTGTAGATACCATGCCATGAAAATGTTTTTCTGCCTGAGCCAGAAGCACTCAGCACAGCCCCATCCATCCCAACAGAGCTGGAGAATCCCATTTGCAGCAGCTTCAGGCTCCATCTCTTTCCATTTATTCCGAAATCCTTTGCAGAAGGGGCAGCAGATGGGAGCAGCTCAGGTTTCGTGGGTGTAACATACCCTTTTTAAAGCACTAAAGTGCTATCGTTGGACGTGGGGAAATGGGGCAAGATTAACATGCTGGCATCCAGCTCCTGGTGAGCGCTGGGCCACCTCCCATGGGTTTTTGCTAAGGATGCACGTGGCCTCACAGCTCTGCCCATTGGGTCCATGGAGAGGGCTGTGAGTGGGACTTTGCCACCCTGCTACCAGGCTGCTGTTGTCCTCCAGAAATCAGACTGGAGAGAGAGGGAAAACAGAGGATTAGTCGTGCTGGGTTCATCCTGCTCTCACACATGGATTTGAAGCTAAGATGCTACTGTATAAAATCATCTGAGTAAAGCTGTCCCATCCCTGACCCTCTGTGATGGCATCCAGAGGCCAACAGCTGGCTTCAGTTGCTAGGACAAGGTGCCCAGATGCTGAGATATGTTCACAAATAAATCTTCCTGCTTATTGCTGTTGGAGAGCTGCAGCCTACCTCGTTCACCTTAAATAATTCAGAGGAGGGAGTGGGCAGGCAGAGCCCTGAGCTGCGCTTTCCCCACGGCCAGGGCTGTGCGGTGGAACCAGGGGTGAGGATGCGGTGTGGGATGGACCTGAGCAGCTGCCGAGAGCTTTGTGCATGAGATGCCTCCTGAAATATTCACTGATTATCACCCAGGGGTGCTCTCCACCCGTGGGCTGCTCCTCCTGCCTTTCCAGGGTGCTCCATGGTGTGCGTGTGTGAGAGCTCTCCATCCCAGAATGCAGCCAGAATGCTTTGTAAGATCACAGGCATGCTCTGCAGTTGGTGTCAGCACTGATCAGCTGCACTGGTTCTTGTCAAGCTGAACTCCCTGACAAATCACTTTGTCTTAACGTCCCTTTCAGGCTCTCAAACACATAGCATCGATCCTCCTTGTGTTTTCTTCTTTGATCTCTGGAAACGATGCTGCTGGATGCAGCGGGCTCAGTCTGTAAGAGCTCTCCTTACGGAGGGATGTGGTCCTTAAGAGCCTTTTCCAGCAGTGTTTGGTGTTGCTGGGGTTTTTGCTCTTCATTCATGAAGTGTAAATGGCTCAGCAGGTGTTCTTTGGTGATGAATTGAAAAACAAAGTCCAGTGCTTAAATAATGATTCTAAATGAGAGATTTGTTTTCAAACAAACCTTAACAATTTGGGAACTCTGCAAAACTTTTGGCTTTCAGTGGTCTGGAAGTATTTTATTCATTACTGTTGGGCATTTCCAGCTATTGCAATTAATACTGCTGATGGAGAGTAACACACCCTGTAAGGGTTTTGTAGGGAATCGCAAGCTCTTTGTGCACTTTATTTCCAAGGTTTCAGCTATTTTGTTATCTTTCTGTTAAATAACTGCACTCGAACTGGTCAAAGGTAGCGTGGGTGAGTTGACTGCTCTGCTCCCATGGCACAAACAGGGGGAGCATCACTGGAACCACGTGTGGCTTTTGCACGGGCAGCTGGGGAGAGCAAAGCGCAAACCCAAGGTGTTGTCCAAATGGCCATCCTTCAGCTCTGAATTTTAGATGGTTCATTTAGTCATCTTCTCTTTGCTGTGACCTCCTAATTGCATTCTGAGCATCCCTATCTAGCCATTACATTGCAGAGATTCAGGTTATTAATTCTTCTCCTGCCCACGGTCAAGGTGAGGGCTCCTTGTGAAGCTGCCATCTCCCAGAAACTCTCATTAGGAAATATTTTCCTCTTTGCTGCCTCTGTGCCTTACATGAGGGGGTTTTTATCACAGCACCCAATTACACCTACAGCCCAGATTTGTGGTTTTGTGATTTTAATGTTCATTATAGCTCTTTCACTTTCGTTCTGCCGTGGTGAGTGCTGGAGAAGGAAACAGGAATGAGAAGCAAAACATTTAGCATTTAGAAGAAAGTAGGTCGTGCCACTTGGTGGGTTCTTGTTTTTGCTTTAACCAGAGGTACTTAAGCAGAGGTCACCTCTGGTTTCTCCTGTCCCTGTGGGCTGTGTGGGTGCTGCAGTGCTGCAGTGCTGCAGTTGATGCCAAGGGTTGGGGCACAGGGATGATCCCAAATGGCACAGCCCCATCTCTCAGACCCATCGCTCTTCCCCATCCTTGCCCCTGGCACCTGTGCCAGGTTGGAGATAGCTTGCTCATCAAGGCAAGGCAAATTCATGATCCCCACTCAGCGAATTCAGGGTCTGGCCAGGCCGTGCATTAAATCTTTCAGGAGAGGTGATCTATGGTGAAATGGAAGGTGGGAGGGCAGGGGAGGAGGGCACACGTGGGGGCAGCAGGAGGTCTGCATGCAGTCAGTGTCACAAGGTGCATCCAGCCCCACGGAGCCAGGGCTCCATGCCAGCAATAATACATTGCCTTTAATTAAAGCAATATTTTTCATCTCCTTAGTACGTTGATTATTACTTCAGAATGAGCCAAGGAATTCTTGCTTTTCCCCCCACTCCTCTCCCTTTCTCTTTTTAATCCACTTCCCTCCCTCCTTCCTTTTGCCTTTCTGGTGTCCTTTCTCTGTCCCCCCATGGTTTTAACTTCTTTCAGCTGTTGCAGTGTCGCTAACATGAGGGAGCCCTGCTTTTGTAAGGACTCCCTCGTCCTGGTCCTGATGGGACTCACTGCTGGCGATGCTTTCCTGAAGTTTCCTCCATCCCAACAAGGCCATCACCATCCCTGTGGGTGTTCAGGGCACACGTAGACGCGGCACTTGGGGACATGGTCAGTGGGGATGGGTTGGGGTTGGACCTGATGATTTCATATGGTTTTTTTTTTCCCAACCTCTTCAATTCTATGAAGACTTGCTGGATGCGGATTGATTTCCTAGCAGGCTGTTTGTGCAGGGCTTGGGATGCTGTTGGGTGCTGCAGCTCCTCACTGCAGCCAAGACAATGTCCTGATGCCTCAGTGAAAACAAATGTGTTTGCAATGTGTATTTTGCTCTGGAATCAGCCCTGTCTGGCACAATGTTCCAGGCCAGGCTGAGTTCATTGGGGTTCAGAAGCACCAGTAACACTGTGCCCATCTCTTTTGCAGGCCATTCCCTTCAGAGGAGACCACGGAGAATGATGATGATGTGTACCGGAGCCTGGAGGAGCTGGCTGAGTGAGTCCTCACCTTTGCAGGGGGAGGGCACGCAACGGGAAAAGTTGCAATTTAATTCCAGCAAAGTCTGATAAAGTCTGACAGTGGGAACTGGAGAGCCAGGCCGGCTGCTTTGATCGTCCTGCCAGCAGTTTGTTGGGCTCTTATGATAGTCTGTGTTTTCCCACATAGAGAGCCCTGGGAGACGTCTCTGTGAGTCAGGCTGGGTTGATGGGGCAGCTCAGTGGGGTCAAGCCCTTGGGAAACCCCCTATCCTGAATCCTAACCCAACTGCTGGGCCCCCTTACCAGAAGCCCCGGGTGCAAATCCTGCAGTGGGTTCCAAGAGCCTCTGTGTTGGGGAATAACCCACACAGGTCCTGTGTGGTGCAGTACACACACCTGTGTGATGTGTATTTTTGCAAGCAGCCCAGTTTGCAAAACTAGGTGAATGCAGCAAGGCGTGCAGCACCCTCTGTGCATGGTAGAGCAGCCAATGAACCCTTTGCTGGGTTAGGGATGCCCCAAATCCATGCCAGTCCCTCACACACAACGCTACATGCTCTGGTTGGCATCCTGCATCTATATTTATCTACCTCTTTGGTGCCTGCATTTGCTGCCCTGAGCTGTGTTGGTGATATAACAGGCTTTCAAACAACCTTGAACTAAAATGTATCTGCTGAAGTGCTGGCCCAATTGGAATTCGATGGCAGTATTCCCCCTGGCTCTGGCAGGGCCAGGGCTGTGCTTATGAAGTGCACTCTGTTTCATACACAGAGAGAATCCATATGGGTGGATGTGCGGATTTATGCAGTTAAATATTATCATTCCACAACATAAATAATAAGCTCCTTAATCCAATGAGTTCCTCATGGCTTCGGTTATTACAAAAGTAAATCATAAATTGCCAGCACAGGAACACAGGATACTGCCATCCCCAGCTTGTGGTTTGGTCCCAGCTGCTGCAGTTTAATACAACTTTAACTTATAAAAGGATCCTTTCAAGAATAGCATTCTTCAAACCCCCCCCCAAAAGTTCTCAAAATCCCTTTCACGTTGAGTTTTAAAATTCCTCATTCTCACACACATGAGCACACATGAGAAATGTTTGTGCACGAGCAGACTTGGCCTTGCAGCAGGTTATTCTGCACTGACCTGTGGGGATTTTTGCCTCTAACTGCTTTGCTGCTTGTTGTAATTGCAGCAGCCCTGGGCAATGGGATGGGATGCTGCATGCATTGGGGTCTGAGAGGCTGAGAGCTGCTCCAGCTGCTCCTCATCCCTTTGCTTGAGCCCATTCTCATTCAGCTCCTCTTTACACCGCCACATGGGAGCAGTGGGGAAAGGAGTGTGTAAATAAATGTGGGGATAGTTCAAATTCCTTCAATCAGTGCTCTGTTGAGCAGAGGCACAGCCTATAAGATGGAGATATCATTCATCTGCAACAGGAAAAATAACCCTGCAGAGCCTCACGAGCCCCTTCCTGCCCTGATAAAGGAGCAACTCTGCAAGGAAGCTTCTCTGCAGCTTGCTGCTTGCTCTGGGCACCCGTTTGGCATGCTGGCAAACCACGGGGCTGCATGAGAGAACCCTTTCTTAGCAGCTGCCCATCTCGAAGCAGCAGAACAAGGGCATCATTCATGGGCTGGGAGTGACTCAGTCTGCCCCAGCAGCTTTGCCTTTCGTATTGCTCATCACCCAGCAGCCCTGGGGAGGTGAGTGTGTCCCAAATGTCATGTCAGAGGCGAGGAAATGGTTTGCACAGCAAGCAGTAAATTGACCCAAAATGCATGGAATCTATTACTACCAAACAGCAAAGCCACATGCAGCAATCTTCTCACTTGCAAAAGAAGCACCCCCACCTCTCTGTGCTGTTATCTGTGCACAGATAGTGCAAGTTATCCAAGGGGTTATTTTTGCCCTTTGGAGCGTTTCACTTTTCATTGTGATATCACAGTGTTTTGGGGACCGGTGTGAGGTTTTCAGGTTGTGGCTGATATTTTGGGTTAATTCCTGCTCAGTAAAGCGTTCCAATTATGAACAAGCTTGTGATGGAGGTGCAGATCTGGGACCATGAGAAGCAAAGTGCACAAGTAAGCTGTGTGCCCACGGGCAGCACATGGAAGCCTGCTGGGTGCAGAGGATGTTGGTGCCTCGCTCCCACCTCTGGGGCAGGGCACATTTTCCATACAGATATCATCAACACTGGGCTGCCCATCCAGGAGGTCATTACAGACCATTTATAACTATTTTATCTTTTTTTAAAGAACAACTGGTGATGGAAAGGGGAGGAAGAACTAAAAGGCTCTCAGGGGAGTGAGCAAATTCTCTGATTTCCCATCCTCAGCCATTGGCCAGATGGCAGCCTAGGAGCAATTGGGGCAGATGGGGAGGGCTGGCTGCTGCTGGTGCTTTCCTTAAAAGTGAGAACTTCTGTCCAAACGATGCCATTCATTTGGGCACAGGCCTGATCCATAAGCTGCCCCCCACCATGGTCTCCTTTGTTATGTTCTTGTATTTCTTTCCCTGCTGTCACCAGTGTACCTTTGTTGTATCTCCCAAAGCAATTACGTGATCAGCAGAATCTCTCAAATGCGTTAAAGAAAGAAAAAAAAAAAAAAAAGAAAGAAAAAGAATTAAGAAGCCAAGGTGAGATGATAAGTTAGCTGCCACTTTTCTCATTATTTTTTTGTGTTGGAAAAACCACACACGCCAGCCAGTTAAATAAATTGCTCTGTGGTCCAGGACGCTCAAGCCATAGCACTTGCACACATCTTTTCTACTTCATCAGCCAGTTTTTGTGTCCTGCTCGGGCTGTCCCTAAGGTTGCATTCATTGCTGTAACTCTTCGAGGCTCATTTTTGAGATTATAAGGTTCCCCTGTCCTGCCCACAGGGCTGGGAGTTTGGGTTTGGTTGTTGGATGTCTTATTTTAGCTCCTTCTCCCCCTTCCTTTTGCCCATCCTGGTGGCTCTGGGTTTTTCATCAGCAGAGTGAAGCAGTGCTGTGGTATAGGTGGGTTTTGGCATGGTTGGTTCACTGTGGTGGAGGGCATTTGCACAGAGCAGTCATTGCCAGGGAGGAAAACCTCAGCCAACTGCACTGCTTTTGCCTCAAACTGCCTTACATAAGCAAAGCTTTTGCCTCTTTTTGCCTTGAATGAGTTCCCTTGGCTGGGCAAGATGCTGCCAGCCCAAAGATGGTTCTATCCATCCTAATAACAGTAATAGCAAACGCTGGTGTCCTCCTCTGAAAGGAGGACAGAATCCCTTTCCTTACCCCAGAGCTCTCCATGAACCTCCTAATCCAGCCTGTGATCCCTATGGATAACTCTCGGAGTCTGCTGCTGTTAGTGAAGGTGTAAATTCCCCGTGAAGACAGAAAAGAGGATCTGACCTCAATCACACCTTGGAGCTTGCTCAAGTTGTGCAGGCAGTGTGTAGCATGCTCGGGATGCTGAGCCTATTGCCATGATAAATGCTCCAAATAGCTGCCCTGCTTTCCCACTCCTTCCAGCATTTAAGATTTGGAGCGCTCAGAGGTTGCTACTGTCAAAAATCACCCAATGCCTGTTCTCTGGTTTAATCATAGGGTGTGAGCAGTGCGTATTCTCACTTCTGGCAGACAAAATATGAGTGATGGAGTGATGCAGAGCAGCAGTGCCAGCAGCTGGGCAGGCTGCTCTAAGAGAGCTGCTCTATGCCACTTGGCTGGGCACCAGTATGCTCTGGTGCTTGTCAGCAATACAGCAGAGATGTGTGTTCATAAACAAGGCTCCATCCAGCAAGGATGAGATAAAAGCATCTTTTCAATTGGCCCTGGGGTGGGGGAGCTGTCTGTGTTTTGGTCTTGGGGTGAAGGTTTGATGTTGATGCGTAGGGATGCGTTGGCCAACTCAACCATACGCTTCCTAATATCCTTTGAGCAGGGAAATGATGTATGGAGAGGCAGCCAGCACTCCGAGAAGGGAAGATTAATCAGGAAGCAGGAGTTACTTGCTCTGGATGAGGAGAGGAGCTGAGAATATAAATATTGGTACAGATAATAACGGTGATGGCAACGCTTGGGAAGGGGAAGATGGATCACCAGCTATTAGTGGGCATTATTACAGCAGCTGCAATGCATCAACTATGGAAGAATGGGATGGATACATCATGCCAGTGAATTTATTTAAAATCCCCAAACTTTTATTAAATAAATCTGCTTTTAAAAATAGAAAGAACTGCATTTAGAAAAGAAATAAAGCCCAGTTTTGCAAACAGATGTGCTCTGCTGCTCAGTGCTGTGTGATGTAGAAATGGTGAGCGCTACGGTTTGAGCACAGCTTTACACCTCAACATATTTCTATGTAATTAATGCCCGTGTTGAAAGAGATCGTTTGCAAAATGTGTGAAAGCTGTTTGATATTCCAGTGCTTCTCACTGTCCTGATCCCATGGGATTGACTTTGGTTGGAGCTGTTAGCCATCTGCACCTGTAGATCTTGAGCTCTAAAATTACTGTTGTTGATTGGTACTTGTGGCGGGTTGGATTTTCTGAAGAGCTGTAGGACTTCACAGACCTCTGGGGGACTTTGTAAAGACTGGTGTGGCAGTGAAGTACTGAGCACCATCACCTTCTGATGTCCCCTCTCAGTGGCAGCTTACAGTCTGTGCTTGCAGGGGCTTTTCTTATTGCCATGGTTGCTCTCCCTCCCTAGCAATGAACACTCGTGGCTTCCCTGTTCCATGCCAGCAACGTGCCTCCCTGTTACCCCTGGTCTCTCTCCTTCTCATTGCAGTGAGCACGACCTGGGGGAGGATATTTATGACTGCGTGCCCTGTGAAGATGAAGGCGATGATATCTACGAAGATATCATCAGGGTGGAAGTTCAGCAGCCCATGGTAACTCTTTACATTTGTTTTCAGAGCTGTGATGGAGGGGGAAGGAAGAGGAGAACATTAAATAAATGAGGGATCCGTGAATGATGGGGAACGTGGCAAGGAAGAGAAGGGCTGCCCTGATTTCTGCTGGCACAGAGCTGGGAGGAGCTTTCCATCACACTATGAGCTTCCAAATTGTCTGCCATCCTCCGAATATCTGCCACCTTCGTGTAAACTCTAATTACTGTCTCCTGCCTGCAAACAGCAGACGGCAGCGGAGCGCAGCTGCCTGGAGCAAAACAAGCTCGGTGACAGATCCCCCCCACACCAGGCATGTGGCAGTGCTGGGTGGCACTGGGAGGCTGCAGACTGGTGCCCAGCTCTGGCTGCAAGCAGTGCAAGGGACCGTGACAGTGCTGAGCGAGGCATCCATCACTTCACGCCTTGTCCACATCTCCCTGCGCACCATCAGCCTGCCTTGTGCCAAGAGTTGGGTGCAGATGTTCCCAAGGAGCCTTGCCAAGGCACGTGGGGCTGTCTGCAGGCTGTGCCAGAGCAGCCCAGCGGCCACCAGTGATTTTGCCACTTTGCTACTGGTGCAGAAACCAGTTGGTCCAAGGGCTGCTGCCACTTGGAGAGGTTTTGGGAGGAATTTCTGCCACAAAAGGCAAAAATAGGGCGACAGTCCCACCGTGTGGGTGCCCAGCACTTAGGGACACTGAGGGCAGTTTGTCACTGTGTCCTCTGCAGTATTCTGTGTTTTCTTGCACACTGCTGGGTCAGTGGCTCTGGCTCCCTTTCCTCCCTGTGTTCAAGCAAGAAAGACTATTTTTAATATGGTCACCCACATTCCTGTCTACATATTGGGTTTTTTTAAGCTTTGTTGCCATAGCAAGTGTGTAATGCTAATTGGTTTCTTGTGTTTCTGCATGCTTCAGATTAGATATATGCAGGTAAGACATGAATTGAAATACTAGACTCCATCCAGCTGATGGGTCCAAGCTATGAGTTCCAGCATGGTGTACAGAGGATGGTCATTCCTGTGCATGGTCATTAATCACCTCCCAAACCCTAACACCTCCCAGCACGTGTTCTCAGCTCCTCTTTGCAAATGAAAGGGTGAGAAGAGCAGCTCCAGGAGTTGAGGCTTTGAGAAAAAGCATGTATGTGTGATCAGATCTGACCTAAAACCACGAGAATTGGCAGCCCTGGCAGGGGATTTGTATAAGTCTAACATATTATTTATGACCCATTTAGGCTCTGCTGTGAGTTTCATCTTAAGCAAAAAAAAAGGAAAAATAAACCAACAAAACAAAAGCCAGAGAGAGAAACTAGCATTTATCTCTCATTTCTTCTTTAACTGATAATCTTTGGTGATGTAGTTGTTATAAATGGAAAAAAGGCAATGCTGTCTGTGATGAAACATATTGAATAGCAGAGCCGAGGTCTCTTCCTGTGTTTTTTGGATAAAAATTCTTCCCTTTAACCTAAACCAATGACAGTACTCCTCTGCCTTTCCTAACCTGCACTTGTTCTGACTGTGCCAGCACTGGAGGCAGAACTGGAGCTGTGCCACCCTTCAGACTCTGACCATGCGTTGTTTTAACTTTGTCTAGAAAATGGGCATGACAGAAGATGACAAAAGGAATTGCTGTTTGCTGGAAATCCAAGAGACGGAGGCCAAATACTACAAAACACTCGAAGACATCGAGAAGGTAAGCGCTGAGCCATCCTTTCAATGCCAAACCCTTCCACCTCATCACTCAGTCCTGCATCAGTCGTGCTGGGGTGGTCGTTGCACGGGAGCTGGCTGATGTGACACAGCAGCATCGATGCTCGCGTGTAAAACCGCAGCAGGAGGAGGAGATGGGAAACACATCCTAACAAGAACAAACGTGCGGTCAGAGGCAAGCAGCACATTTCTTTCTGATTGGAAATAGATTGAGAAATTCCATATTTTGTTCTCTTGCCCCTGGGTCTGAGCTCCAGCTCCTTGCAGCCGGGGCTTCTCTCTGATCAGAGCTGGGTTGCAGATAGCTTATTGCTTTGGTTGCTGCTGGGTGATTCGATGGTTCCTTTCTTCTGGGCGCTTTTTAGAAGTGCTGAAGCTGCTCCAACTTGTCATTGAAACTAATTGGATTAAAAGCAACGTTGCGCTGCTCGAGTTGCTGGGTTTTAATTGGTTTTGATAAACGATGGTTGGGCCTTTCCTTGGGAAATAAAATGAATGGTGGAGCTGTGGGTGCTGCCAGAGCCCGGAGGTGATTTTGGCTCCAAGAAAAGTGGCAGGAATAGAGAACAATAGGGAAAATGAAACTGATGTTTATCATCACCCCAACCCTTTTGTTTCCCCTTTTTTGTAATGGTTTGCCTCCATCTGCAACCTGAGCGCAATCAAATGACGTTTCCCATTTTCCAAGCCAATATCCTGATGTGTGTAAATAGTGCTTTTTCTCTGAAAGTAGTCATAAACCTTCTGTTTTGGTCAGGTTGCTGCTTTGATATTCCTTTGCAAAGGCTTGTGGAGGAGTTGCACGTTCCAATGGCATATTATGGGCTGCAGAGCGTTGAATCTGGGCTTTTTGTAGTTAAAAGAAATGAAGGTATTTGTCCAGAAAGGCATTTCCAATGTAATCCTATCAGCTGCTCTTTTTCAAGGGCAAAACTCTTGTGAGAGATACAAAGAGCTGAAGAGATAAGTTGGAGCTCCTCACAGCTGCAGCTGAGGATTGAAATGTGGTGGAGAGTCCATCAGATTCATCATAAAGAAATTAAAAATACACACCCAAAACCAAAAAAAAACCCCACTTATTCACTCTTGACTTCCAATCCCCTTTCCTTTGCCTCCTGCAGAATTACATGAACCCACTGAAGCTGGTACTGACCCCACAAGACATGGAAGCTATCTTCATCAATTTGGAGGTAATGGCACAAACTGCTTTCAGTCTTTGCTCTTTTTGTGGCAGCTCAGCTTTCATCCTGCTTAAGTAAGGCTTTCAGATTGCACGTTTCTTGGTGTGCTCTTCTGGATAGGTTCAGCCCTTTGTGTGCTGAGTGGCTTTAAAAGATATTTTTAGTGCTCATTTTAAAGTTAGGGTTTATACAAACTCTAGGTAAGGAACTAATTGTATGAGGTGGATGTTGCAGAGCTGAGCCTTCACCTGTCTGTGTTTTACAAAATACTTAGCAGTGCTTTGGGAAGACAGCTGGGTTGTTGCAGAATTAAAGCCTGATGGGGATGCAGGGCGGAGTGAAGCACAGAGCCCTCACTGGGCTGAGCACACTGTGGGCTCCATTGGTTTGCCCTGCTCATGGGCCAGTAGCTGTGCACAGGGGGCTTCAGTGCAGCCCTGTTGGTCCCACGTTGCATCTTATCGTGGGCTGCCCTCACTAGGATGGCTTATTTTAAAATCAGCTGCATAGAGAGCATGACTGCCTGAGGAAGAGGTGAGCGTGCCCTTCTGTTTGCCCACTCGCTTTGGGTTTGTGTAAAGTATTGATTGTTTCTTTGTTTTAGGACCTAATTAAAGTGCATTTCAATTTCCTGCGAGCCATCGATGTCTCTATGATGTCTGGAGGAAGCAGCCTGGCTAAAGTATTTCTGGAATTCAAAGAGAGGTAAAAGGAAACACAGCCTTCAGACAACTCCAGTTTAACAAACCAGGGCTTTCAACTGTAGGACCCATTTCGGACCTCATGTGCATCTCAGCACAGCAATTTCCTATCAGTCGTTCAGCAGCTTGGTGCTGTAGCATCACCAGGTGCCTGCACTTAAATACAACATGTGGACAGAGGTGGCTGGGAGGGGATAAAGGTGAGAATGTTATGTTTGTGGTGGACCACAAAGGAGCAAAGCCTCCTCACCTTCATGGGCTTTAGCACTGTATCCTCCTGCAAACCTTGAAGGGGCTCGAGGGCAGGATCTGTCCTTGCTGGAGACGTCTGTCTGGTTAGATCAAAGCAAGGGTTAGCTATAAAAAAAGCCATGTCTGGCATTGGTGTTGTCCAGTGCATGATGAGTAAATGTGAAAGTTGCTTTTGCAAACATAATAGGTTCTGTGTTTTGGCAGCTGCAAGGAGGAGTGTCCCAGAACACAAAGATAAGGTTAATAAAAGTCTTTAATATTCTTAATACTAATCAAAGGCCTGATTCATTGTGGACTCATGCCAGGGTTTTATTTCACCGTGCTTAAACCAGTGTCTAGACATAGAAATGCCATTCAGAAGTCAATAACTCCAGAAATACCGTCTGCATTAATAGTACACCGTAAGGTCAGATATTCCATCGCTCACAGTGCCTCTTTTAGAAAGCAAATGCTTTTGAATTAAATAAAAAAAAAAAAAAAAAAAAAAAGGATGTGGAGAAGAATGCAAGTAACTCAGAAATGCTTATAAAGCTCATTTAGGTGGTTTTGATCTCCTCATTCCTGGCACAGCTTTGTGCACACCAGTGCTGTCCCCGGGCAGGAATCTTTTCCTATGAGCACAGCAGGAATGGGGCAGAGCATCCCTGAGAGTTTGGCCACAGCAGAGGTGGTGCCACACTTTGAAATGTTGAGAACTTGCTCCAATGTCACCAAGAAAAGGACCCCAAAAGCCAGCTCTTGGGGTTGAATCGTTTGGAGCAACCTGAGCTCAATCAGCAAGGCCCTCTCCTTCTTGGGGAAAATCCACAGGGAAAAGGGACACAGTCCCATTATAGCAAAGAGATGGGAGGCAGGAGGAGAGCTCATATGGGGAGGTGCTGTTGCCCCACTGGAAGTGTCTTTCAGAGTCCTGTTGGGTCCCTGTGCTGAGGACCTTCCTTCCCATTTGATGTACCTGTGACAAAGGGCTCTTGTTCCCATCCATGTCCTCAGAGACATCCCATCCAGATGATGCACTGCTTCGCTGCTCTGCAGAGCTTTTAAAAAAGGAGCTGGTTTGTAACTCTTCATGTGAAAGCTGGGGCTTTGGAGTTATGCTCCCAAAGCCTCTTTGTGGCTCTCCAAGTGCTGGCAAGCCAGATACCATTGCGAGTGCTCAGAAGTTGTCAAGGGGGAAAGGCAACAGACTGATCTGTGTTGGCTGCAGGTTGGTCGGGGTGGCACAACCCATAAATCTCCCAATTCAGTTACCACTGGGTGTGAGTCCTGTGCTCGTGGAGCAGCATCAACCAGGTGCTGGGTTCTGTCTCCCTTGAGAAGAAGGGCCCTGAAATAAGGGATGAGTTCCAGCGAGTGATGGAATATGTGTCTTATCAGCAGCAATACAGTTAGCAGCGGGGAAAGGGGGGGAAGGACCTAAACCTGTCGTGCAGGATTAATGAGCAAAATGGAGAAGGAGCGGGAATCCACAGCAAAACTGCTCTGTTGCTGTCAGGTGTTTAGATTTATAGCCCAGGGCATCCTTACGGAGCTCTGCTGTGCTGCCAAAGGCTGTCACCAGCTGCTGTCACCACACCACCCTCTCCTTGCTCAGTGCACACCTTGTGAGGAGCACACGATGCACTGCTGTGCACGTGGAGCTCTGGTGGGGCACATCCAGCTGAGTGTCCCTGGGCTTCAAGGGGGGTTTTGAAGCCTCTTGTTCCCTTATTAGGTTCAATAATTGCCACCGTAGCCATTCTGGGTGCTGCTGAAGCACCTTGCCTTTGTGTTTGGTGAGGCATTCAGAAATGCCAGTGAGAAATGCTCTTGGGAAGTGGATTTTCATTGGATTTTTGTTCTTTGCTCTTTTTACCCCCACACCTCCCAAGGTGCAGGGAAGCTGTTTTGCTCATGTGCACCCTTGCTCTGCCTTTGGAAACCATGGCGTGGCATAGCCAAAAATGCAGAGCATCGCCAGCAGGGAGGCACGGAGCTGATGAAGACATCAGATGGATTATAGCAGCAAAAGCCAACTTGCAGCAAGGCGTGTGCTTGGGCTGCAGGGGTCAGCGCTCCCTGCTCTGTGCATTTCACAGAACAGTCAGCAATGCATCGGGTTTCTCTGAGCCCTTGCAGTATCCTGCAAGCCCTGTGCTGTGCAGCCGTGGCTGCAACATCTGCTCAGCCCCAGCTGTAGGAGGACAGGGCATGAGGCTGGCTGGAACCCAGAAATTTGGGGATATCATCAAATCATTTGAGTCGGAAGGGACTTTTAAAGACCATCTGGTCCCACTCCCTGCAGTGAGCAGGGACAACCACAGGGTGCTCAGAGCCCCTCCAGCCTGACCTCGTAGCACCCACAGAACTGGGGCTGCAGAACCCCTTTTGCTGAACTGCCCTGACAGCCTCCAGCCCTGCAAAAGACTTCAGCATTAAAAGTGCTGCAGTAAAAGAGTGCTAATACTTTGCTAAGAAGCGACATGGGGGAGTTGCCATTCGCCTTGTCCTCTCGCCATATATACATACATAGATCTTTTATAACAGGTTATAACAGCCAGCAAGTGTTTCCAATTACATTTGCCATTTCCCCCTCTCCAGGCTGCTGATTTATGGCAAGTACTGCAGCCACATGGAGTACGCCCAGAACACACTCAACCACCTCATCGCCAACCGGGATGACGTGAGGCAGAAGGTGGAGGTGAGCAATTGGGGGCACCCAGGGCACCCATTCACCCCAAAGCCCTTTTGCTGGGGAGCAGGACAGTGTAAGCTGACCCAGATGCCCTGGAAGGGGTGCACTGTTTTTTCCCCAGTTTTAGTCTAGACACTAATCTGTATTTGCTGGGCTGTCTGTGCGCCTTGCCTTGCTTTCTGCAAACGCCCCTTTACTCTTTGGGCAGCAGCCCAATTTGGGGTGAAGGCTCTTAAGTATCTTCTCTGGGTTTTGCATCAGCTCTGAGCCACGTGCTCTGCATGCTGCAGCAGCCTCCCCTTGCCCTGTGCTTCTCGTTTTTCTCCCCCTGGCCCACAGAAGCCCTCAGCTAACACAGCACAGTCTCATATTTAAATGGGTCTGGGTGAAGGCAGCAGTGCAAAACTTCATGCGATCGCATTAGCCTATCTTAATGACCTAATCCTTATCAGCGAAGCCACAGCAACTGTCTGCGTGCTTGCTTTGAGCCCCCCACAAATAAAATGCATGCTCTCAAGCCATGGAGGAGGTGAGTTAAGCTAATGTGTTTCATTTGACATTTCCCGAGGTCTGGGAGCACTGCCTGCCCTCCTAATGAGCAGTATCTCATTAAGCTGCAGTAGCTCAGCTGCATGAGACCGCTGTGCTGTAGGGCCCAGCCCCTGCGAGCTCCTCCTCAATAACAGAAGCAAAATGTTGCAGCCGTGGGACTTTGGGGGATTCTTATGGGGGGGGTGGGCTGTCATCGTTCTCCCCCAGCTGCCACACTGCTGACGTATTGATTTCTCTCCCAGGAATGCACGCTGAAGGTTCAGGATGGGAAATTTAAGCTGCAGGATCTGCTGGTGGTTCCCATGCAGAGAGTTCTGAAATACCACCTCCTGTTAAAAGTAAGCGTTTCAGCTTTAGCACTTCTCTCCAGCTGCCATCCTGGTGTAGCAACTTCAGGCTTTGATGCCGGAGAGTGAAGCATTGCCAGATGCACGGGGAGGGTTTGTTCTCCCCTTTTCAAATGAAATAATTACGAGAGCTCCTTAACGCGCCGCAGTATTTGTGCCGTCTCTTAAAGCATGGTGACCTGGGGTAATTCTGCACTTGTTAGCCACGAGAGGCACTTAATGAATATAAAATAAGCTTGCATATAATCTGATTATGTGTGAAATTCCTGCCGTCAGCTCTGCAAAAGGGAGCTCGGCAGCACCAGCACGTTGGCTCCAGCCCCGTCCCATTGCCAGCACAGCAGCTGCAGCCCTGCAGATTGATGCACGATGCTTTCCCCATGTACCCACGTGCTTTTGTGTTTCAGGAGCTGCTCAGCCACTCATCAGACCGGCCTGAGAAGCAGCAGCTGAAGGAGGCTCTGGAAGCAATGCAGGTACAGCAGACTCGTGGGTGGACAGACAGTCCAGCATCCTGGGGAAGGCAGCTCTCCTTTAGGGCACGTGTGTGTGGATTGCTGTTTGATGGGATACACTCCCTGCTGTGCACTCCAAACTTGCAGCAGGATCACTGTCAGCAGAATTCAGCCCATTAAATCCAGGTTTTCTCTCTCAAGAGCATTGCAGGGTTCATCCCTGGCCTTGATTGTTTGCACTGAGGTCACTTCGTTTTCTACCTCTTGAACCTCAGCTTTTTAGTGATGCTGCATTTCCCACAGTTACATAACTTTGGTGACCTTTTTAGCCACTGTCCCTGCAAGCCAGTGAGTCCAAGCCCATATGTAGGTCATTCTAGTCAGGATTGAAGGACACTGCATTCCCACTCCACTGCTGAACAGTACAGCCTCAAACAACCATGCTGGGAGAGGGAGAAGGGATTCCCTCTGGTGCCACAAATCCCCACTCCCTTGAAAATGTCCTTCCTGGCTGATGAGACAAAGCAGCAGACCTGGTGACAGCTGTTAAACCCTGCTTATGGCCCCGTAATGCAGCACCCACTGCTGCTGCTGCTGATAAATAAATGGATGCAGTCTCCGCTGCAGAGTCAGCATTTTTGGGAGGAAGCTGCCAATAGTCATCAGAGAGGTTTGTTTGCTTTCTTTGCCCCATCACAAAGTGCTGGGCTAGCCAAGGGGCGTAGGAAGCAGAGCGGTTTGATTTTAATTGATTTGTAAACCAGGGCTTAACTTACAGTAGTGCTCTCCATCAAGATCCCAGCCTTTCTGTCTCCTTTGCTGGCAGACGTCGGTGCCCTATGGGGTGAGCTGTGCAGGGGGTGGGTATCCACAACTGGAACTGCCCTTCCCAAAGGGCTTCACTCCCTTTCACTTTGCATATGTCATCATTAGCACAGGGAGGGGGCAGGAGTTGCACCCAGAGGCTGCAAGTGGTGCTTGCGTCGTCCCTACACCTGAGCACACAGGGCTGAACCCCAGAGGATGGGGATAACCCTACACACCCAGCCTGCACATTGCTGCTTCAAGTCACCAACAGCCCTGGAATTGGGTTTCCCTTTTGCACACAGGATGGTCTGCTCAGGAGGAGGGAACAGCCGAGCACTGATGGAGGATGCTGACCTCCATTCATGAGGCTTTTACTTTTGTTGCTCTTCATAAGCATCCCTGGCTCAGTCGTTTGGTGATGTTATAAGTATTGTCATTTCAATCAGTGATTATCATCTGTGATTAACCCTTCCTGTGTTGGGAAGGTCTTGCCTGGAGGGGATGCCTTAAAAAATTCTGCTCTCAGATTTAATCCAAGATGATAAGGAGCTCTTGCTGAGGACGAGGAGGCAGGGAGCAGATAGGAAAATAGGGAGGTATGGTTGGAAGGATGTAAGAAGTTGTAGTTGAAGGGGATGGGTTCTTTCTCTTTGGGCCAATATTTGGGCAAGCAAAGGGTTTTTTTCAGAGAAGAGCAAGAGCCACAGAGTGTCTCCTCATTTTACAAAATTGTCATTGCACGGTTGGAAATTCTACTATAGGACAGAGGTGGGTGTTTTGATAATGAAAATGGCTCAGAGCTCTTTTCCCTGGGGGGATGAAGGGAATTAGGGTGAGCTGAGGTTCTTGCTGCTTGGGTTCACAGCAGATATATGCCATGCTTTGGGTTACTGGGTTCATGCATTGCCCTCTTATGGGAAATGGGAGAAACTGCAGCAGAAATGTTCCTGCATTGCCAGCACAGCACATACCGAGGTGCTGGGGTGCAGCTCAGGGGCACAGGCAGCCACGATGGATCCCAACATGGGCTCCTTTGCTTCATTTGTAATCACTTGTAACACAGCAGAACTCTGTTGGGCTGCTTTTCCTTTTCGTCTGGTGTTGCCTGTGATGGCAGCATCCTGTGCTGCTTGGGTTCCTGCAGTGCTGCTGCTGGTCCAGCTCCCAAACGCATGCAAGGAGAAAGAGTGGGAACACAGCCCAGCTGCTGTATTGAAGGTGTTGGTTCTATTGGGGAAAATAAAAAAATCAATGCTCACTTTTCTCTTTAGGACTTGGCCATGTACATAAACGAAGTAAAGAGAGACAAAGAGACATTGAAAAAGATCAGCGAATTTCAGAGCTCTATAGAAAATCTGGTAAGTTGGAAGATCCTCCTCTCACTCCCAACTTTGATTAGATGATCATTAACATAACTGCTTCCTTCTGTGCAATTATTGCTGAATCTGATGTGCTGCCTCAAGTAACATCACTGCGTGTTTCTATGGTCCCTGGCCACTGATAATATTTTGGCTGTTGGTATCAAAATGGTGGCTTTATCAAAAAAGAAAAAACAAACTTGCTGTGAAATAGACTGGATGAAAACACTGAAAACATTCCTCCAACTTTCTCATGTTATCAGTAGGGAAGGGAATCCAAGAACTCTCCCAAAATAGGTATCTGTCTGCTATCTAATGTAAGTATTTGATTGGAATTAGTAAGACAGAATGGTAGACTGGACATTCCTGCTCTTGAAAGCATAACAAAGCCTATCTGGAAAACGGCATACACACCTCACCCCAAAATCTCAAGGAGATCACAGATTCATTAAGGTTGGAAAAGACCTCTAAGATACCAACCCCAACCCATCCCACCATGCCCACTGGCCATGTCCCAGTGCCACATCTCTGCAGTTCTAGAACACCTCTGGGGATGGGGACTCCCCCACTTCCTTGGGCAGCCTGTGTCAGTGCCTGACCACTCTTCCTGAGGATTTATTTTAAGGAGAACCTCATCTTCCAAACTCCAGAGGTCTCAAACTTGCAGTCCCATTGCCATGCACCAGCCAGCCTTCCATGCCCTATCATTTGTGTGCTCATAGCCCTGAAGAAGCCCATCCATTTAATGCTCAGAGCTGCAGGCTGATAAGCTTTATCCCCCATGTGGGGTGGGAGGGGAGGGCAGGGCAGGGCAGCTGTGGGCGCAGCTGCTCTGCAGTCCCACTTTGCATTGGGGTAATGCAATTTGGGGTCTGACACCTGAGATGCTCCAAAAGGACCGAGGGAGGGGAGATGCTGAGCAGTGCCCACCCTGAGGGCTTCCCAAAGATGTGGTGGCTTTGGGTTCTTTGAGCCCGGGCTTCATTTGAGAACAATGAACTTTTAATTGATGATTATTTAACAGATGGAGAGAAAATCCTTAATTTTGTAGAGAAACCTGCAAAAATTCTCAAGTGGGATACGGGTCATTGCAGCCCATGGGTTTTGAAGCAGCCGTGATAATCCTGATCCACATGAACAGTCAGACAGCCTGCTCCACAAGGCTGTGAATGCAAATGGGGGCAGCGAGCAGCTCCCTCCTTCGTGCAGCAGGTTTGATGTGTGGGAGATGAGATGTTAACAAAGCAGCGGCTCTGTCTGCTGATCAATCCCACGCACGTTCCGCTCAGCGTTTCCTTTTGTTGCAATGGACTGGAAGTTGTGGAGTGGTTGGTGTTGTGTATACAGAGCCCACGCGGCACAGCCATGAGTGCAGGCTGTACATGCAGCTGCATACAATATTCCTTTTTTTTATCTTGATTTTCCTAACGAGTGGTGCTTCTTCACCATGGGTTTTCCCTTGTAAGCAATGTGCAAGCGAACTGATGCATGGGGTTCAGCAATGCATGAGGGCTTTGGAGCTGAAAACCCAATTGACCAAACCGTTGGGTTGGACGCCAGCCTGTCAAATCCCCAGTCTTGGTTCAGGATGGGAATCAAAAGTAAAGAGCCCTGGCTCTGCTTTTGTAGGAAACTCAAAATTAATTTGTGGGCTTTTGCATTCTGGATCCCAAATCTTGCATAATTGCCTGGATTTGTGAGCCCTGCCCTGAGGTGGGTGCTCTCCTGACACTGAGGTCAGGGTCCTGCACTTGAGGAGTTTGGATTTTGGTGTTCCTAAGCCCACTTCTATCTGCAGGTCTCACCTATGCGTTGCTTTCTTGCAGCAAGTGAAGCTGGAGGAGTTTGGGAGGCCGAAGATAGATGGTGAGCTGAAGGTCCGCTCCATCGTGAACCACACCAAGCAGGACAGGTGAGAGAACAACAGCATTCTCCCGAGAGAGAAATGTGCTGGGTACATTAATCCCTAACAAAAGCACATCCCTGCTAAGGTGACAGCCAGAGGAACTGGCTTGCAACCGCTGCTCTGTGTTGGAAGTTGTAGGAGTGCACACTGACAGAAAGCACATCAGTGTGAAATCGCAGCACTCAGAGCTGCCCCAGCTGGGGATGCTCTGCAGAGCTCTCCACGTTCTCCCTCAGAATGGGGACCTCGGTTTGCTTGCTTAACCAGCTTGCTTGTTTGCTTGCTCTGGGCAGGTATTTATTTTTATTTGATAAAGTGGTGATTGTCTGCAAAAGGAAAGGATACAATTATGAGCTGAAAGAAATTATCGAGCTGCTCTTCCACAAGATGACCGATGACCCTATGAACAACAAGGACATTAAGAAGGTAGGTGGAGTGGAGGTCAGCTCTGCCAGAGAGCATTTTGGAGCTGCTCTGGCCAGTCCTTGGGTAGCAATGTTCCCAGCAGTCTTTTTAAATAGAAACAGTGCTTGCAAAATACTGGAACATAAACAGTCAGCTGGCAGGACAGCCTTACAGAGTTGGGAAATGCTTAGGTGTACAGGGCTGGGCTTGATCCTCTGACCTCCATCTGTGCAAAACAGCCCTGGAGAGGATGGGTGGGAGGGAGGAGGGAGAGGAAGACAAGGGGATGGCAGCCCTGCTGCCAGCTTGCCAAAATCAGTTCAATGAATGCAGCTGCCTCTGAAGGAGCAGCATTTTGCTGGTGTCCAGCTATCAAAGAGGCAGGGACTTGTGTGTAGTTAGATGTTGTATGGATGGGACGCATGACGTTGGGTGTGAAAAGCCCGTTTTGCCACTTGGATGCTGAAGAAATGCTGCTAGCTTTGTGTTTTAATGCAATATATTTCCTCTTTGCTCTCTAATGCTTTCTAGTCTCATGGAAAAATGGTAAGCAAAGCACGCAGTTTTCTCTCATGTTTTTCTGTGCAGAGTTGTAATGAGACAGGCAGAGCATATGTGTGTTATGCAGGTCAGGTGTTCCTCTTGGGCTGTCAGTTGTTGTCAGGGGGAGAGATAATGGCTGGGGAGGATCTACTGGAGCAGAAAAATCCCTCTTCTCTCATCTGCCACCATAAAATCCCATTTGGCCCTAGTGCACAGTGCAGGGCGGATTCAGGCATCATTAGCTGTGATGTGCTGCAGAGGTAGAGTTGTTCTTCCTACTTCCCTACTGTTATCCTTGCAAAGGTGCAGAGAAAAGGGGCAAGTGCTGAGAGCAGCTCTTGAGAAGTGTGAATAAAAGCTCAGGAGCTGCTCAGGTGCTGGGAGTGCAACGATGCAATCGCTTCTTGTTTCCTCTTGCAGTGGTCGTATGGCTTCTACCTGATCCACCTTCAGGGAAAGCAGGGCTTCCAGTTCTTCTGCAAGACGGAGGAGATGAAGAGGAAGTGGATGGAGCAGTTTGAAATGGCAATGTGAGCACTGGGCACGGGGTGAGGAGCGTTGGGCTGCTGGAGAGCAGCTCTGGTGGCAGAGCTCCCATGGAAAGGTGGGACTCTGTGTGAAGGGAGGCAGGGCCCAGCATGAAGTTATCCCCCGAGTGTTTGCCCCAAAGCTTGTTTCCAAACATGGACTGAAATGCAAACAGACACCACGAGTGGCCATGAGCACAGAAGAGGTGATGGGGGCAGGTCAATAATCCCACTCCTTCCTGCAGGTCCAACATAAAGCCAGAAAAAGCCAATGCAAACCACCACAGCTTCCAGATGTACACATTTGAAAAGACCACCAACTGCAAAGCATGCAAGATGTTCCTAAGGTGAGCCATGCACTTCTTGCTGTTCTTCATTTGCAAACAGACCGAGGTAGGAGCTGAACTAACACCTTGTGATCTCCTTTTGCACAGAGGAACGTTCTACCAGGGCTATCTCTGCCCAAAATGTGGAGCTGGTGCTCACAAGGAGTGCCTGGAAATCATTCCTCCCTGCAAGATGGGTGAGTTACTTGGCCATGTCAGTAGCTTATGACATTGAGGTTAATGGATGTGAATGATCCCAAAGTTCACCCCCCTAAAGTGCTATCAGCTGCTTGTTAACAGCTAAAGAACATCTGATGGTGCTGTCAACTGCCTCCCAGGGCTGCAGCTCATAGTGGTGGGTGGTTTCATAAGCAAATGGGCTGACCAAACCACCAAAAATCAAGGAGAGAACCAACCCAGGCTCTTCTGTGGTGACCCAGCACAGCACTGGTGCTCTGTGCCATGGGGGATTCTTATGGAGCAGCATCAGAGGGGGTGTGAAATCTCAGAGCTTGGTGCAAGTGAGACATCCGTGCCCAGTGCTGATCCCCTCCCACCAAGTGTGGAGCTGAGGAGTGACCCCACAACCCCCCTCCTTGGTCAGGTGTCGATGCTGCTTTATGGATCCTCGTGGCATCAAGGGAAGCAGAAAATGGGTTTGCTGCCTGGTAAACTAATGGCCTATTTCAACATTTCTCTTGCAGGCTCTTCAGCAGACCAGGTAAGTTGTTTGAGGACCCTTTCCCCACATCCCTCCCTCTGTCCTTGCCTGGCCTGGTGCTCAGGTGGGGCACTGGCAGAGGTCTCAGGGGTCCCAGTAATTGGGGGCAGGATGGGAGACCGATGGCTAAAAGTGGCCCAGTCTGCATGACACCAGGGGCTTCAGAGGGTGCCAATACCCAGCAGAGCCAGGGAGGTTTCCTATCCTGATGTTTTCAGATGGGGAGAGCTGGGACTGCTGTGTCCTCATGGGAATTTTTCCTCTCTCTTTGCAGGATTTGCTGAGTGCTGGACCTGGTAAGGGCATTGCTGCGTTGCAAGAGGGCATCTTGATTGCAACTGGAGGTGTCGTAGAGGCTTGGGCACATGGGATGTGGGGAAAACTCCTTCTGAAATTGGAAATAAGAGCTGATTGCTGCAGGAATGGGATCCTCCTGTTCCCCAAGGCTTTGGCACTGCCTGTCAATAACTCCCTGCTCAGACAGAGGAGGGCACAGACATCTTCCTCTAATGCAAGCCACGCTCTCCCTGGCAGAGCAGCTTGGTAGTGATGGAACATGCCCATGCCCATGCATGATGCGCTGCCCTCTGGTGGGAACCTGAGTCACTATGGTTGCTGCAACCTCTTTTGTATATTTATTTTATTTTTCTTCACACCAACCTGATCAGAATGCTGTGCTGCCCTGCCCATGTTCTGTCTCAAAGAAGAAGGAACAATTTGTTTTTGTGCTTTTCCTGTCCGAAGGAAAGCCTGGCAAAAAGAAACCGAATCAGATCATTGGTTTGGAAACACAGCACAGTGCTCCCACTGGGTGGGGAGAGGCAGCTGGCAGCAGAGGTGGGGAAGCAATCTGAAGGCAAACACAGTGGTTGTAGAGCACTGTGGGTAGCTCTGTTTAATGTGTGATTAATTAAAAGACAACTGGACTTTGGCTGCAAACTACTGGGTTGGAGAAGTGCTTTCTGGGCCCCGCTGCAGCCCAGCACAGAGCACATGATTGCAGGCATTTTGCTGATCCCTTTCATTTCCATGCTTTCTGCCCCAAACACCTGCCTGCTGCTGCCGTTAGATCCGCAGCTCATGGGACAAAGAACAGCAGGAGGTGGGAGGTTATTGTCATTTTGCTTTTCTTTAGCAGGGATGAAACTGCTTTGCATCTCCCCCAGGTCCTAAAATGGTTGCAGTGCAGAGCTACCACGGGAACCCCGCGCCGCCTGGCAAGCCAGTGCTGACGTTCCAAATTGGAGATGTGATCGAGCTGCTGAGGGGAGACCCCGACTCGCCTTGGTGGGAGGTGAGGGCCCTTCCCTCAGAGAGCTGCTGGCACGTTTTAAGCCATTGTCATCTGCATTGTCCCTTTGTCACATCTTCTGTAGCGTGGGGACGGGCTGCACGGTACTTGGGAGCTGCATTAGGGTTTGTCCTCATCCATACATTGCTCCTCTGTGCACCCTGCTGATCCCCAGCTCTGTGCTCTGCAGGGGCGGCTGCTGCAGACCAAGAAGTCAGGTTACTTCCCCAGCTCGTCTGTAAAGCCCTGCCCCGTGGATGCCAGGGTACGTGTGTGGCTGTGGGTCGGTTGAGAGGGATTCCTGCTTCATTCCAGGGGGCATGAGATGCCCTGGAGGGCCCTCGGCTCTCCCCAATCCTTTTTTGCTACATGCAGCAGTGCTGTCAGCTTACTTCCCAATTAAAAAAGGCTTAAATAAATGAAGAAAAGCGCAGCACATTCATCCACAGCTATTTTGGGGGGGGGAGGCTGAGGGAGAAGCACTCAACCCTGCCCTGCACCCCCAGATCTGGTGGCTCTGAAGCTGCCTGGCAGAGCCCCTGCCATGGATAGGAGCACCTCGTTAGGTGCTGGGCAGTAACGAGCAGTGCTCTCTTTGCAGCCTCCCAACAGTCGTCCACCGTCACGGGAGATCGACTACACGGTGTACCCATGGTGAGTCGCACAGAGATATGTCAGCTTTGGTTTTAATTGTTGCTTTGTCATCAACCACTCTGTGCCAACACAGAGCTGTGAGTGCACCTTGGTGTCCAGGCATTGAAATCCACAGTGTCCGTGGGGATTTCAACGTTGAGAAAATGACTTGGGAAGGGAAGATGCAATTTCTGCCTTGGCAGGAGAGGTTGTGATTCCATTTCCTCTCGCCTCCTCCTGCTGGCACCATCCAGGGTTTCAAGTTCACGAGTCTAAATTACCGTGAGTCTAAGTTATTCCAGCTCCCATTGAAGCCTCCTTCCTCTGGGGACCAATTCCCAGCCAGTGGGGTTTTCTAGGTGCCCTGGAAACATGAGGGACTTAGAACCAGAGAATCATTTGAGTCAGAAGGATCCGGTAAAGGTCACCTAGTGCTATGCCCTGCAGTGAACAGGGACACCTACAGCTCCTTCATGGTGCTCAAGGTCCATCCTGACCTCAGCCTGTCCTCACAGGGGATGTTCCATTCCTTGGAATGCCCTTCAAACTGCATTGCCCATTACTCTTTATTCAGTGGCAGTGGCTGATTCTGCCTCGGAAGGACTGGACCTGTTTCTCTACTTGCCCAACCTTCTCACCTTTAATAATTAAGAAAGATACGCACCTTTTTGCCTAAAATACGCCAGTGCTTGAAGGAGGCCGAATCCTAGCTTACAAATGCCCTGGGGAGGCAGCTGGCCCTGGGATGCTCAGCCTCTGTGGCTCAGGTTTGCAGGGAACATGGAGCGGCAGCAGACGGACAACCTGCTGAAGGCCCACGTCAGCGGCACCTACCTGATCCGTGAGCGGCCAGCCGAGGCTGAGCGCTTTGCCATCAGCATCAAGTGAGTGCAACCTCATGGGGCGCACGGATCGTGACCCCAGGAGCACCAGCACACCTTTTGCTGAGCCTCTTTGCATCCCATTGTAGGTTCAATGAAGAAGTGAAGCACATCAAGGTGGTGGAGAAGGACAACTGGATCCACATCACGGAAGCCAAGAAGTTTGAAAGCTTGTTGGTATGTCCTTGAAGCTCTCTGGGAGCACGGCGGGCTGATGCCAATCCTGCAGAGCATCTTCCAGCCACGGTCCCCGTGTGCTTTGCAGGAGTTGGTGGAATACTACCAGAACCATTCGCTGAAGGAGAGTTTCAAGCAGCTGGACACGACGCTCAAGTACCCGTACAAGTCACGGGAACGCTCTACCTCCAGGACCTTCACCCGCTCTCCAGGTAGGACCCATCTCAGCCTCAGTGCTGCGTTTCCAATGGGAAACCTCACCCGTTCTGTGGGGCGTGGGCTCGGTCTGAGTGGGGATTTGCAGCCTCCCAGCAGCTCTTTGCTGCCTTTCCCCTCGCGCTGCCCCACTGTGCTCAGCAGAGATTTGCTGAAGTGCAGAGAGATGTGTGGCAGCTTTGGTTGGGTGCATTCAGGCTGTCCTGCCCACGTCAGCTTGTGTGTGTGGGGGTCTGGTTGCAGGGTCTCTGGTGGGGTTTGAATCCCACAGGGACTCCTTTAATGGGGCTGATGGGGGAAATGGAAAATTGGAGCTTAAAAGCAAAAAAAAAAATGAAGGAAATCAGAGCAAATGGAGAGCAAAATCTGTGCTGTTGCAAAGCATTTGGTTTTGTCTCAAAGGCCGGGAGCAGAAATTGGAGGAAAAAAAAATTGTTTAAAACCTTTTCCATGATATTTTATAAAAATGCTACCGATGGAAAATAGTTTTTGAAAGTTGATCAGACATCTTTTCCATTTGTGCACACCCCTGTGCCCTGGGCAGCGGCTGCACCTGCCATGGCTGCCCCAGTCCTGAGCGTGTGACCTCTGCATGCCCTGCCCTGTATTTCCCCATTGGCTTTTACAACGTTTTGCATTACAATTTTCTTTTATTTTAATTTCCTTTTTAATGAGTGTTCTGCATCTTTCTGTTTCTCTCTTAACCTCTTTGCAGCCTCCTGCGCTTCCTACAACTTTTCTTTTCTCAGTCCTCAGGGCCTCAACTTTTCTTCTCAGAGCTCCTCCAGTCCCTTCTGGTCAGGTACCCCATGGAGAGACCCACAGCATCCCCAGCTTGAAAGCCATCACAGTGGGACCTGCGTGGTCCCTGCTGTCCCTTCTGCACCCACAGGCAGCTCTGGGGGCCCTGGCCATGCCCTGCCAGTGGCTCAGCCTGGAAACAAGTGAATAAATCATGGCTTTGCAAAAAGCAAATGCTCTCCCTAAAAATCAAAGCAGGAGTGTTTTGGATTGATTGGAACTGTTACTATTGAGAAAGGGTGCTTAAATCAGTGACAAACTCTGTCGCATTGGGATCTCATGATGTACTTCAAGCTCGACTTGCTCATCCCATCTGTTTCACCATAGGAACATTGGCATCACACCAACTTCCAGCCTGGTTGTCCTTGCTGGCTAAGGAGAACATCTCAGTGTCCAGCAGTTTTTGAGCTCTGGGATCTCAGCCTGCTCAGGAGAACTGTGCTAAAGGGGATGGGAAACCTGGGCTGTAAGTTTGTCTGGGGCTCAGGCTCCCCACAGTGGAGTTCTGGCTTTAAATGCATTGCAGACCAGTGTCTTCCTCCCTGTTTACAAGGGTTCAGAGCAAAAATGTGTCCTTTTTATGCTATTATTTGCCGGCATTTTCTTTTTGCTGGACAGGGAAAGCCATCTGCTGAGCCACATGTGTTTTCCCCTAAAGCTGTTGTTTGAGAACACAACTTTTCAGGGTATCAGGACATAACAGGGAATTTGGGATCCTTTAAGTGCACACAAACTGTGACTCTGTGCTGAAATGGGCTCTGAGCAAGCTCCTGATAAAAGAGCTCAAAGCTGTTGTGGTTCTTGCTCCATTCTCCAGCCTGGTGGGGATGGATGATTGCACGCTGTGTGTCTGCCTCTCCTCCATCGCCATCCTCATCTCCTTCCACCCCAACAGCTGGAAATCTGGGCAAAGCTTTTCCTCAAGCTTAGTTCAACCTTGGTTTGCAAAATTAAAAAAATAAATAAATAAAAATTAATTAACACTCAAAAATCCCAGGACAAAAAGGGACGTTTGATCAAAACCTGTTGCTTAAAGGTTCTAATTATTTTTTTCTTCTCATTTTGCAAACTCCACAAAAAGAACCTTTCCCCCGCCCCCCCGCTTGCCCAGGAGCACCCTGCAGTGATGTGGACTGTCCTGGACCTCTCTCCCCCTCCTCCAGCCCATCCCCACTGCTCCTTGGTGTGCAGTTCTCCAGCAATCTCCTCCCCATGCCCTGTACTTCCCTGCACGGAGCAATGGAGATGCACTGCTCAACATCTCTCGGAGAATCCAGTCCCAGTTTTGAGGTGGTTCAAACACAAGCTGACTTGCCAAACGCCTTTTGGCACGGTGGTCCCATCAGGAGTTATAAATGATGGAAAGGAAATTTTTCCATGATTCCACCATGAATAATTGTTGATTCCTTTGGAATCTTTCCTTTTGCCACCGCCTTCCCTTCTCACCAAATTGCCCCAGCAATGGGTCACAGCCCCTCCTGGGCAGCCATGCGGCTGTCCCAGCTCTGACCACGGGGCTCTATGACCCCAACAGGAACCACTTCACCCCTGACCACCCCATTTCACATGAGACCGGAGCTGATGCAGGTCACAGCATTGCAATGGGAGCCAGCGCCGTGGTGGAAAACCCAGGTTGAACCCCGTGGAGCTTTCCCCAGGCTTCAGCTGCTCCATGTGGTGGGGGCCAGTCCCAACACTTCTCTTTGTCCCCCTGCAGTGTTCACCCCACGGGTCATAGGGACGGCAGTGGCACGCTACAACTTTGCAGCACGGGACATGCGGGAGCTGTCGCTGCGGGAGGGCGACGTGGTGAAGATCTACAGCAGGATCGGCGGCGACCAGGGCTGGTGGAAGGGGGAAACCAACGGGAGGGTACGTGCACTTGGTGTCCCATCCCCTGTGCAACTGGTGTCCCATCTCCTTTCTACCACGTGGTCCATATCATGTCCAGATCTCTTCCTTAAGCTTGCATGCAAGGAAATTAATCATAGAATGATAGAATTGTTAATGTACTAATGTCCAGCTGTTGACCCGTTCCCACCATGCCCACTAACTGTGTTGTTCTGTGATTGGAAGCCACGGTGGCCTGGGGGAAAGCAGCAAGCTGATGGCTTGCTCAGATGTCCCATAGTGTTTGCAGCACTGGGGACACATTCCTGATCCCTTCTTTATTGCAGCTACAGACTAAGGCAGTGTACAGTTGCTCTGAGTCACTGTGCAAATTTTGGTAGCAGCTGCATCTAAGAACTGCGTCACCTCCCCATCACTGCCACATGGCTGGGTCAGATAACTCAGCATGTGGTGACAGAGGAGCAGTCCTAAAGGTGGGACAGGAGCTCCCTGCTGCTCCCCACCGCTCAGCTCTCCATCTTCCCTCAGGTCGGCTGGTTTCCCTCGACGTACGTGGAAGAAGAGGGGGTGCAATGATGCTGGGGATGCCTCATGGAAAGTCATCGAGTGCCCGGAGCGATCCGCTGCAGACCACACGCTGCTCCCCCAGCAGCCCGGCCCCACGCCTGCCAGCACTGCCGGGAGCACCACTGCTCTCCCCAGACTCTTTAGTAAATCCATTCCTCTGTACAGCATGTGTGTGTGCGTCGGGATGCCTCCAGCCCCGGCCCTGTTCTGTCTGTAGAAGATTCGTGGTCTGTCGGATGACGTTTGTGCGGCGGCTGCTCCTGAGAGAGCCTCGCTCCCCTGAATGGACAGAGCGGAGGGACTCTGCGTGGTGCCCCCCAGGGGGGTATCCGGACCTTATTTTTTCCTAGAAGTGTTTTCAAATGGTGTGGCTGAAAGCCTGGGCTGTGCCCGGGGGTTCAGAGGTGAGCATGCAGGGCTCGGGATAGGGACCGTGGCTGCATCATGTCGGGATGCACCTTGGGACCAGGGATGGAGCTGCTCATCCCTGAGGGATGACAGCTGTGAGCTGGGGAGCACAGCTGGACCACGGACACGGGAGAGAAAAAAGCCCCGTGGGCATCCCGAGCCCCTTTCCTCACTTCCCCCCCCAGACCCCACTGCCGTGCTGGGGGTGCATGGGGCAGCCCAGGACACTGGGTGAGCTGCTGGTGTTGCAGGGCTGGAGGTGTGCCTTGCCACGTGTGAGTTTTGGAGGTCACAGGGGCACAGGTCCCGGCGGAGGAGCAGATGGCAGAATGGATTGAGCACCTCAGCGAGGTCCATTTTTCTGCAGCCATACGTGTCCCACCTCACTGAGCTCAGTGGGGCGAACCCACATGAGTAAGGGCTATGGTATGAAGTCCTGATTTATCTCAAGACATTGTGAAAGCATCTCTTCTTCTCCAGCTGTGTGCACTTTTGGGGGCCAAGAGCATTGCCCCCTCTTCTTCCCACAGGCTGTTACCGCTGCTGCTGTCAAAGAAAGGTCCGTCTGTCTGTGCATTGCCACTTTGTCCTGAGTTCCATCCATCCCAGTCTGTTCTTCCCACACTGCAGCCTGTAACGCATAGGCAGAGCTGCTGTTTGGAGAGCTGGGCTGGCATCTTCTGCTGGGTGCTGCCTTTGCCACCCAGCTCCAGAATTTCCTTCCAAAGTGCTGTTTTGAACAAATACATGTGTGCGTCTGTGTGTGTTTGTAGCGAGGAATGACTTTCCTATCTCTGAGCCTCGAGAAATGCCCTCCTGTCTCTGTGCATAAGTGGCATTTGGAGCTGCTGCTGTGCCCAAAGCTGTCCCTGGCACGATGTAAAAGCAGCCCTGGGAGACACCAGCACCGTGCAGTGCTGTGTCCCAGCCTTGCTGTCAGCAGAGCTTGAGGGATTACATGGGAGAGCCTGGGGATCCCATTGGAAAGGGCAGTGTGTTCACTTGGGAACACGGCTGTGTTGCTCAGTGAGAAGCCCAGGGCCAGATCAGTGTGCTGCCCAGGGCTCTGGATAGGGCTGGGAATGCGTTGGGTTCCTTGGGCTCACCACAGCAGCGCCCAGCAGGGTGAGGGGGCACAGTGCAGGGCTCGGGGCTTTAGCAAGGTACTGTTTGGTGCTAACTTCTTCCAGGCCAGCTATTGGTGCTTAGTATGGGATGTGTGCAAGGGGCCCTGTTTGCTAAAGGAGCTGAATGGTTCATGCTATGCAAGGGAAAAAATTGGGCTGCAGCAAATGAGGAGCAGGCAGTGCCCTGCTGCAGCGTGAAGGGCCACGCTCAGATTTCCCCAATTTTGGTGTGCCTGAGAGCACATCTAAGGTGGGCGAGACACACACAGACAAGAGAACAACTGATGGCCGAAGGTCTGCCTCAGATGCTATTAAAGCCCTATGCAACCCCTCCCCTCCCATCTGGGATGGATTCCCTGTGCCTGCACTGGGTGCATCCCCCTCAGAAAGGCACGGTGTTCCCCCTGCAGAAGGTGCGTGTGTGACATCTCCTGCACAGCCCCCCAGGTCCAACCCCCCCAGCAAGGTCTCCCTCTCGTGTTTACTGTTGTAAGAAACTTGTTTAAAAAAAAAAAGAAAAAAGAAAAAAAAGAAGAAAAAAAAAAGATGTTTTCGTTTGTAAGTAATTATTCAGCCATTTGCCACGATATATATCTGTGAATAAGAAGGAAAATGTGTTTGTTTGGTTGGTTTTTTTTTATGATGGCGAGAAAATTGTATATATATTTTAGTTCGTCGCGGACGTTCAGAATTGCAATGGGATACGTTGGAAAATAATATGTAAATTCCTTGGGTTTTTCCTTTGCACTGCACTAACGGGGGTCAAACGGGCTCGGGTGGAGGGGTCCAAAGGTAAAACTGTTTGTTTATGGGATAGGTTCTAGCTGGCAATTTGGAAATCATTTGGAGTAGCTTGTAATGCTGGAATAGAATCTTTAGCTGCTACTTAGAAACCCTTTTGCATGTGGTTCTTCCAGACCTTTTTAAGTTACAATACATCCAAGTAAATCCCACGATGAAAAAAAAAAACCAAGAAAAATAAAGTGTAATTTTGCTGATAGCTCCTTTTATTTTTTTTGGCAGCCGTGGTTTTTATCACCAGTAAACCCACACGAGAGGGATGGGGTTTGTGTTGGGCTTCTGTGGGGTATAGTGGGGATGGATCCTTCCTGATGGTAGGCATTCACACCCCACCTAGAACTGCACTGCTCAGCTGATCCCATCCTGCAGCCTCAGACAGGGCATCCTGCTCAGCCAGGGCAGCTCCCAGCAGCTGTTCCTCTGCAGCTGTCCCTCTCCCATTGGGGTGGCTGAGAAGGGAGTGGGTGATTTTTCACAGCTTCCATTCATTTCTTTGGATCACGTTCCCAAATCCCACCTGGCTCTACATGCAGTGGCATTTTCCAGAGCGATGAAATAAAAACCACAGCCTTGCTTACAAATTGCCCCAGGTGTTTTTGGAGGAAGGGGAAGCTTCCACCCCAGGGATGCTACTGTGAGCTGCCCTACTGCTGAATTAATAACGTTTTTCCCTGCTCTTCTGGCTGGGGTTAGAAGGATGCAGCTCAGCTGGGTGTCACCTTGGCTGAGCTGCAGACCCCTGCCTGGCACAAACCGTGTCCCTGTTGGTGCCATTCAGTCTCAGGGAAGCTCTCCAGCACACACCACGTATGAAATGCTGATCTCTGTGATCTGAGCACTGTTCAGCCAGTAGAAACCCACATCACAGCACAGCAGCGTGGAACAGGTGAGTGCCAAACTGCATTCACGCCACCTCCTTGCTGGGGACACCCCTGGCAGCACTTGGTGACGTGCAGCCCTGCAGCATGCTGGAGGTGGGTTCCCAGCAGATCCATGTGGCTTCATGTGACTCCCCCGGAGTGTGCACAGATAAAGGAGGCATTATTCACCGTGCCAGGCCTGTGCCATGTGCTGTAACCAGACCAGGAGCAGCCTTCCCCAAGGCATTAACAGGAGCATCCATCTCCAGCGCCCAGCTGGCTCCAGCCCTGTGCCCCAGGAGGGGGAAGGCTGCCCCAGACACAAGTTCTATTTTATCATCTATTTTTTCTTTTTGCAGCTGCTGACATAATCTCCCACATTAGTTGGACTGGCCAGGGTGCTGCTCTGAGCAAACACAGCACCGGGACTGGCTGCACTTACTGGCTGTCCTCTGCAAACAACTCTGTGCCCGGAGCCCTGCTGGCCAGCTCTGAGCACGGCCCATCGTTTGGTGGCCTGTGGCCGGCCAGCACGTGGCCACCTCCCTCTGCCACCCCACAGCAGGCTGCCCTGAGAGCCACGCATGGTAGCAATCCTGAGAACAAGGGCCTCGACAGCCCTGCAAACGAGGAAACTGAGGCAGGGAGGCGCCGAGGCCAGAACACAGATAATCTCCAGGCAGTACCAGATCCCACTCCACTCAGTGTCATGCAATGGTGGTGCTTTCCAGGATCAAACTCAGGTTGCAATGCAGGGCAGAGCAGGCTCAGTGCATGCCTGTGCAGGCTTGGCAGGGGTGATGGCACGTGTTTGCAGCCTCGTGCAGGCTGTGTGATCAGCTGCAGTTCTGCAGCACGCTTGGCTGGTTCATTTGTGCATTCACCGTGGTGTTCTGTACGACCTAGAAAACTCCAGCTGGCGCATGCAAGCCAGCATGCCCCTTTGTTTTGTAATTAGTCTAAGGGGAAGGATTGAGCTGGTTAAGTTCCCTTTGCATGATGCTGACCATCAGAAACACACACCTCCCTCATTCTGACTCTGCAGCTCCGTTGGAACCCGATGTTCAGAGGAACCATAGTACAGCAGAGCTCTGCACATCCCTGCAGGACACAGATTGTGCTCGGGGTGTCCTCTCACCCAAAGGTCATGTTTGCAATTTGCATGCACTGATGAAATGGCTCTGTCCCACCAGACAGCAACACCCTGCCACGAGCAGTTCTGACTTGCTTACATCTCTGGTTATTTGGAGTGGTTGGTGGAGGAATTTGGGCTCTCTCTTTAAAACAAACTCTTTTTGTCTTTTAGAAAAAGGAGAGAAATGCCTGAGATGGACCAATTCTGAACAACTGAGCCCCTCTGCTTCTGTTCAGGCTCTTTTCAGAGTGGGGTGATTTGGATGCAGGCCCATCCTGCATTCTATCCAATGCATAAACGGGGGCTCCCAGGAGTGGTGATGCTGAACATGCAGAACCCCTTAACCCACAGCCCAGGCAGCAGAATCCAAACCTCTAAAGCACTGCACCTCCTGCCCAGACAGGCCCTCATTACAGGGTCCTCCTGAGCAGGAGGAGAACAAAACCTTTGTGCTGAGAGAACTAAATTAAACCTTAAATTAAACCTTTTCATACAGCTTCTAAATGTTTGTTTTGTTGGTTTTTTTTTTTTGTTGGTTTTTTTTTTTGCTGTTCACACCTTTGCTTTGAACTCACGGGTCTGCCTCAGGAACTTCGTAAATCCCTTTAAACCCAGCTCTTCCAATGCAACTGCTGGGAACTGGGGCGGGAGGGGCAGATGTTGAAGAGCTCTGTTTGCTCCCTGGCAGCCGGTGAGCCCTGCTGGCTGTGAGCCCCCCCAGCCGTGCTGTCTGGAGCCAATCTGAGAAGAAAAGTCAGAATTCCGTTCCGTTTTGCATTTCTCCATTCTTCCCGACTTTGTCGTTGAGCAGCGGAGCGACAGAAAAGGAGTAAGAGCTCATCCAGGGCTGGGGAAGCTGTGCTTGGCCTCGTTGGCTGTTGGAGCTGGTTAATGTTTTTGCAGCGGGGCCGGAGGACGGCGGTGCGGAAGAGGAGGAGGAGGAGGAGGAGGAGGAGGAGAGCATCAGAGGAAGGCAGACGTCCCACGGCCATCGCGAGCGTTGCTGGTGAGTGGATCCTGGATCTTCTGTGGGGATTCCTGGTGGGATTTCCCAGCTTTGAGTGGTGGCAGTGAGTGGGGTCCCATAGGGGGGGAGCTCTGCAGCAGAACCCAACCCTGCTGCTGCACCGCAGCCCGCTGCAAACTGCTCCAAAGCCGTGTGTGCCCAAAGCACGTCCCCAGTTTGTGGTATAGGGCTGGAGGGCTTGATCTGCCCCCCATCCCCCCCAGCAGCCGTTGCTCTGTTTTCTTTTGATAAGGAGCAAACCTTGCGCCTTTGTCGTGGCTTTTGAACGCATGGAAAAAAGAAAAAAAAAAAGCACACAGAGAGAAGGGGTGGTTTCTGTGGGCTGGCAGTGAGCCCAGGAGCCGCCTTGTGTATTTTCAGGTCCCTTTTGTAAGCTGGGCCCCTCTGAAGGGTGTTTGGAAACTGCTGTTTGGATACAGTTCCCTGGTGGATGGGGGTCTGAGCTCATGCTGTCCCCCTGTTGGACTCCACTCGCTGCCACCATGCTGCTCTGGGTGCTGCTCAACCCATTGCCCAACATGCACGTGCTGTCACCAATACAACCACTGTCCCAGTAGTGACCAGCTGGCACCCCTGCTCACAATCTAGGATCTCTGCAGGTTGACATGTCCTACATAAGCTGTGCCCTGCGGGTGGCTGCCCCCCGTCGCCTGGCAGCCCCCTGGAGAAGCCCCCGACCCTACAGCAGCACAACAGGACCCACAACCGAGAAGAGCGTTCCTTACCAGAAGACACTGAAAGAAGAAAGCAATGGGAGCACGGGGCCCAGCCGACCACCCCCAGCCTCAGCCGAGGTGGTGGTGGTCGGGGGGGGCAGCCTGGGCTGTCAGACCACCTATCACCTGGCCAAACTGGGCATCACCAACGTCGTCCTGCTGGAGAGGGACCGCCTGACAGCGGGCACCACCTGGCACACGGCTGGTGAGCTGCAGGGATGGGAGCCTGTTGTTGCTGTTCGTGACCTCACGTTGCAGCAGGGGAGGTTCAGGTTGGATACTGGGGAGCGTTTTATTCTCCAAAAGAAAGGTGCTGTGCTGTCACAGCTGCACGGAGAGTGCCGGAGTCACCATCCCTGGGGTCTTCCATAAGTGTGGGGATGTGGCACTGAGGGACGTGTCAGTGGGTATGGTGGGATGAGCTTGGGGATCTGAGACGGCATTTCCAACTGTAAGGATGCTGTGATTGCTATTATTAACGCTATTGCTATTATTGTTAATTTTCTTTGGCAGGGAGGGGGGAAACTACAAGAGTTTAACTCGGCCATCATTTTCGGGTGCTGTGTCTTTCAGGGGTAGTTCTCCACAGAGCCCCAACCCCCCTTTTCCTGTTCATTTAACACCCAATCAGCAAAAAATCCATGATCTGTCGCTCTCATAAGTAGCCACGAGATGGAGCAAGAGCCCCAGCGGGGTGACACTGCCGCAAGCGGGACGGGGAGGGAAGCACGGAGCGACCGGAGCTCCCACCTCGGTCCCTCTAGGCTCCGTCCCACGCTGTCCTCCATAGGTTTGCTGTGGCAGCTTCGTCCCAGCGACGTGGAGGTGGAGCTGCTGGCGCACACGAGGGATGTGGTGAGCCGCGATCTGCCGGCCGAGACGGGGCTGCACACGGGCTGGGTGCAGAACGGGGGGCTCTTCATCGCCTCCAACAAGCAGCGCCTCGATGAGTACAAGCGGCTCATGTCGGTAGGATCAGCCCTCAGCATCCCCCTGGGACATAGCGTTGGTCTGTTGGGGTTCGTTGGGTTGGCATCAGGCAAGATGAAGCGCAAAGATGATCCTTTTTTGCCCTTTCAGATGTCGTTCTCCCAGTTTCAGAGCAGCTTGTGTGCAGCCTCATCCCATATTCCCATGCAGATCATCACACCCACCTCCAGATGGAGGGTTTGCCTTAGAGCAACGTCATCCCTGGGCCATGTGGGGGACTGGGGAGCAAAACTTTGTCCTTGGGTTTCCTCCAGCATGGGATGAGTTCATGCTCATGGTTTTCTTGTCTGCTGGCAGCTGGGGAAGGTGTACGGCATAGAGTCACACGTCCTGACCCCGGCACAGACCAAGGAGCTGTACCCACTGATGAATGTGGACGACCTGTATGGCACTCTGTATGTCCCCAAGGATGGCACCATGGATCCTGCTGGCACCTGCTCCACCCTTGCCAGAGCAGCAACAGCCAGAGGT